CTGTTAGGTTTCAACGAAGTTGTTTTTTACATGACAAACTAACCAGAGCCTGTACAATGGTATCTAGTCTGGTAGATATTTTTACAAAAGTCTTTCTTTCCATTCTTCTTGGAGTCGAAGAGCTACCGGTTTTGTGTATTGCCGGTGAAGATTATGACTTGGCGGGGTAGGTAGGCCATATTTTGCTAGCACAGCGACATTTTGTAACATTGGCAAAAGTTTTTTTCTCAGCTCCAAAAACCGTCATAACCGTCCATTGCTAGTCAGAATCGGGTAGCGTCACAGTTTGACCACGACAAAGGGACGATCAGCAGTAGGTGATCAGTTTTTTGTATTTTTCAAATTTCTAGAACGGTAGAGGTAACCTAATATCAATCTGGAAATAGGAATCCGAGCGTCGAACGTTCAATGACCCTTTGTTCAATACATGGTTTGTGTAGGCACACTAGTACTTCATCTAACGTGCTTCAAACACAGAGATAGTGGGCATATCCAGTCTTTGATTTTAGTTGATGACTGTTAGTAAAGAAGGGTGTATATTTCATGAACTTTAAGTTGAATAATATACAGGATGTAAGGGACATCGTAGCGAATACTGAAATAGTGTATTCATCATTGGATTTTTCTGCCGGAAAATTAAACGTTTGAATTCAATCAGCTGTCAAAGGGTAATGTCATTCCCGTACACCCCCCTTACATTCCCCCTTACACCCTTCATATTGAAGCTACATTTGTTACATAACTTGTCCAATTTGTAAATAGTGTTTTTAATTTATTATTAATTAATTAATGTCGTAATGGAACCATTGGATTGTGATTCTTATTAAATGAATGGTTACAACTCTTAAAACCTTTAAAATAATATAGACCTTGCTTTTTGTATATATTTTAATACCGGCGCAACTTTGTCTACGTCTCTCAAAAGGAATATGTTTTCCCCGTTTTGCAACATTTGTCTTTGATGCTCGAGTCCCACTGTAAGTACCGTAATGTTGCGATAAATAGGTAATCCGATTGGTGGAGTTGGAAAGAGGTATAATAAACCCCTCTATATATTTATTACAATTATGTTTGTTAAATTTATTTTAAATGTAATTCATAGATGCTTTCCTGTGAAGAAACGTACACGGTCACCTACAAGTGACTCCTACAGTCATACCCCAGGCACGGTTCGAGTGATGAGACTTACCGACTTGAAGCAAAAAATACTTTGGACTCTGAACCCAGTACTAACAAGATTGAACTGAACTGGATCATAAAAATTTTTTCTTCGTTGATTAATTTATTGTTCATTATTGTTCATTATTGAGCATAAAGGCAAACAGTCTGTTTATTTAGGTCGTACTGTACAGGTTTCTAAACCAAAAAATAATAATTAAGTTCTTTTTCTATGTAACTTTATAGCGTTTTCTTGTTTTAACATTGACACAGAAATTCTATCGACGTGCTCCATATGAATGTGATGACGATATGATTCTGGATATGGTGGCAAACAATTACTGAACAGTAGTAAAATATTGAAGGCCCTTACAGCCTGGTGATTAATTATCCTTTCTAGCCCTAGGTTTGATTCCGACTCAATGAAAGTATAGGTACTGGCTCGGTTGTCTAAGGTCTCGGGTTCGATTCTCGGGTCGGACCAAATGTTTGTATGGTTTGCAAATATTTGTTTCGGAGTTTAGCTGTTTTCTATGTATAATATGTATGTATTTACAAAAGAAGTATATAAGGATTCTATCAGTCAATCTAGTTTTCATAGGAACTACGAGCTCTGTTTAGTTTGAAACTAGATGGCGTTGTGTGTCAGATGTGATTTTTTTTTTTCTAAATATCCGAAATTGTAACATGAGTATGATCAGTATGTATGATTAGTCAATATGATTAGATCGTAACAAGGGCTATTTGGAGCTACGAAAATGTGAACCTCTAAAATATTACCCAAAAGTTAGATGTTGCAAAGTACCAAAAGGACGATACAAGGATCAAAAGAATATTACAAAAAGGTCTGTGCCAAGATCTTTACCGTCAATAGACCAAATGGCAGTTCTTCGAGCTCCAGAGGAATCCAAAGAAAGACTTTAGAAAAAAAACTCAAGGTAACGAGCAAATATGGGTTCATTCTCTACAAAACCATTCAATTTTGATATTTTTGCTTTAAACAACAACGTTTTTATTAAGTATTGTTTAGTATTCATTTTAATAAACATAAAATTTCACCATATTGGTCCATAGAAGAAAACATTGTAAATTGTAAAATATGTTGAAATCCAACCACACTTCGATGGGCTTCATTACATGTATTTTTAAAGATGCAATTAACATCTCTCAGAAGACGTCAAATCAAAACTCTCCCTCCCTCTACAAAAACATGACATTCAAGTGGACCATAGCTGCTAGAAATGTTTTAAGCATTTTGCGTAATATAAGTCATATTATGTAAATGTAAATGAAACTAGTTTACAACACATTTACTTTGCTTACGCTGAGCACTCAACTATTGATAATGCTGTATTGCAAAGAACTTTTTGCGCGGAGTTAAGTAATGACTAAACAATGAATCGACAACACCTACTTTCGTTGTAAAGTGAAATCCATATCATAGAAACAACGCATTCTGTTATTTCGTATCAATATTTAATCTATTCAATGAGTTAAGCCTTCGCACTAAGTTTTTCATATCACGCTGTATTTAAGACAAGCTTAACAGCCCCGATACTAAAAATGGCTCATGTAAGCTTGTTTAGTGAGCGGGCCATAGTGCCCACTAGGACTACTCATAGTTGAAGGGAGTGGGACGCATCCAGTAATGATGTCGGCACAATTAAACTTTATTGCTGATTGTAAAACCTAGTTGACAAAAAAAAACTTTTAAAGCTTTTCATAATCTGCATTTTCAATATTCATTTATAGTTTCAAAAGCAGTTTTAGCATGCAACGCCTTGCTTGTACCACCACTTGACCGAAAAAACTAAGACTTTATTCCGAAGTGATACAATTACCCGAATACTTGTCGTACACCAAGAACTCTGTACCAGATGAACTTTTCAAATTAGAGATCGGTGTTCGTCCCTACTCGTCAGACAAAACAAGTGACCGCAAAGAAATATGCTGTATATACTTCGGTGTTGTCCTCCACATCGCAACCTTGGGTCAACGTGTATTGCAGCCTAAAAATTGTAAGAAATTATACTTTCATATCATGTGTGAAAGAAATATCGTAAAAGATAAATATTTATAGGAAACAGAGGCGTTCACTTCTCATCTCAAGGATGAGAAGTTTAGATACCTGGATTAGATACCTAAATACCGGTAGAACTTTATCATATTGGCATTTAACCAAATCTTTGCGGGGCAAAACAAAATGTCATACTAGTATATTATGTAGATCATAGATTGAAGTCTGTTCTAAGTCAATAATTGTCTTTTTTTCTTTTGTGGTAGAAGATAAGACTAATCTATTTAAAATGTTGTTGTTGTTATATTATTTATTTTGCGTGTTGTTCTTTTAGTCGTTATTTAAATTTACGATTATATTCCACAAAGAGACAGTTTGAGTAACAAGACAAGAATAAATAGTTGAAAAAATTGAAAAATATTTGGTAAAAGTTTGTGATTGTGTTTTCATTTAAATAACATGTTTGCGTAGGAGTCCACATCAACAACTATGTATACCTCCCAAATTGGTTTGATTGTGTCGATAACATTTTGAGTGTCAAAAACAAGTTTGTTAATCATATGCTAGGTGATATAATGCCGTTTAAAATTTATTGCAGATCGGTGGAACTGTATTGGCCTTGTCTTTGTAATCATATGTGTTATCTATATATTACCTGTGCGGATGTAAGCTAGCTTATATGGCAGTAGATAAATTTTTAGAATCAATTTCGTATGTTTATGTTACCCAGCGCCTGTTTATAACGCGTATGTGCAAAACATTTCATAAATAACTACAGATGGATTAGTTCAATAGCTTCAATTCATTTCGTAAATAACTCGATGAAATTCTTAAGATACATACTTTTTTCAATGAGGTCCAAGAGTGATTGGCCCAATTCAAGGAACACATTTTGTGGCACTTATAGTAATCAAAATATCATCAATATAAAGTAATCGTGTGACGTAGGTGTCCAGTTCAAATTCCATTACGGAACAAAATGTACCTAATTGGTGTGTAAGATGTTTTGTTCTATCACAATGAGTTAAATGGTTACGTCGGAACTCCGAACGCAGGAATAGGAACTGAACTATAGATACAGACTAATGGTAAAACGAATCCTAATATAGGTAGGAATCGATCGTTTCACTAATACTAGTAGTTTAATATTTTTAATAACGAGATAAAATAATGTTTAAATAAAATCCTTTCTATTATAAATCACTATACTTATAAGATATATTACTTTATTGTATTATATCATATATTATATATACTACAAAATAAAATAAAAACCGCAAAGTTCGTATTGAATGTTTTCTTCGCTAAGTAGATACAATTCAATCCCACCGTTTACCAGTAAAATCAGCAAATATTGAAGAGCATGCACTTATTTTTTGGTTATCTGTCTAAATTAATAAAATCGCTTAATTAAATAGAATTTATATTTTAATAAGTAGGAAGGTACAAAGTCTATCTGGTTTAAATAAACTTCTCCAAGTCAACATTAAATCTACCTAATTACGTACTTAAATGAAGAGTTATTTATTCTAATTTATTCTAATTAATGTACATACATTCCAAAGACTTATGTAATTTAAAAATGCTTAAAATTATTCTATGCTTCTTTGAAACATGTTTAAGTAAAGTTATGGTTTTTTTTTTATATAATAAATTTCATGTTTTGTTTTGTTTTTCATTATTTCTTTTTAATACCTAATTCTAGTGGTTCGGCATAAGTTTTGTATGTAAAAAACTTAACTATTAAGTTTTCGTGTTGGTTACACAATAACCTACTATCAGAATTTCGCCAAATATTTTAGTCATTGCATAAAAAAACACTTACTAATGCAATATGATTTTGAAAACTGCCCGAATCAACCCACAACCGATCCAAAAATCTCATTTGAGGCACAACAATATCAGGAATGGTCGACTTAACAAGAAAATTATCCCGATGCACAACACTACATGACAGTTTCCTTTGCCATTTCAAATTTTTTAATTCGCGTAATAATAGTTTTCGCGCCATGTTTTGCATGATCCACGCGCGAATCTACCGGCAGCAGCAGAACAACTGACTGATATTGAATAGTGCGATGCGAACTTCGAATTGAACATTGTTCAAGCGTAGAGTTTTGGTTTAATGTTGATAATTTAACTAATTTACTATGAGTTCAGTGAGAGGCGCCAAATTGTTGTCAGGTTTAATTAGTGTAATTTAAATAACATAGTTATTTACGAAGTATGCGATACTATGATACAAGTAAAGAACAACCTCAGGCGAATATTAAATGTTTTATCGCATATGTTACAAAAAGTTATAGACATAGGTTGGTATTTAGTAGAGTTTTGAATATGTTATTTTATAAAAAGACCTATGTAACTATTTTTGTTCTAACAACAAATTTTTACGTATATACCGAGAGTAACTATTATTATACATTTGATTCAGTGTTTTACAATAGAACTTTAAGCAGGACTGGTAAGAAATTTTGAAGTATCTATTGTGCTCCTCGAAGGACGCAAACATAATCATCGCAGTATTTAAGAATCAGTTCTTTTACGCCTTTGGTACAGGTACAGAGTCTAAAGTGTGAGATTCTTTCACTTCTACACGATCGTCACGGTGACCGCGTTTGGCGTTGTGATTCGCCCGAACTAAACTCTTCTCCAATCACAACGCCGAACGTGCTCATCGTGACGGCCTAGGTAGTGTGAACACACACTCACACTAGGCCCTCAGAACTGACATTGACTGGTTACATTAATTCAATTGTAATCTTAGTCCTGTTTCCCCACCGAAAGCAGCGGGTTTCCCTCACCCCAACTCCCGCGCCCTATTCGCTTTCCTCGCCCCAATTTAAGTTCCCCTTTAGAATATTTGCGCCCAACGTGAAATGGAATGCCGAATGAAATCGCGAAAGTGGCAGCAAAATTAAGACAATTGGTTTTGTTTTGAGTGGACTAGATACTTTTACTTTTGCAGTTCGAAAAATTAGATTTATTCTGGTTATCTGGGTGGACAAGTTTACTCTAACGGACTGATGTCCTGTCAATAACCTTTTAGCTGTAATTCACAAATAATTTAAGCAATTAATTTATTTACTTTTATGCAATACTCAAAAAACAATGTTCCTTCCTTCCTTTCTCTTTACCTGCTAACTGTTCAGTATGTCAATAGTCATTGAGTTAAAACAACACTAGAGAAGCAAACCTCATTATCACACGTCGAAAAAAGTGTAACCACTTTTGAACTTTGACGACGTAGCTTTGATACCACCAAACATTTGAAAGTAAACATATTTATGTCTCATTTACACGCGAGACAAGAACAATACCATAGCTCGGATTAGACAAAGACAAAGATATAACTTTACGATGGTGGGCCAGTGTTGCCTACCGTATGAAATTTTACCCATAACAACTAAGAATCAATTTTTTTTTTAAACAATTTTGTAATAAAATAAATTAATTTAAATATTCTAAATAATATATTTCGAATTGAATAGAATAGGTATAAATAATAAAATAACTGGAAATATTTGGTTAAAAGGGTTTATATTCAGTGTAAAATCAAACTGCGCTGTGAAGCATCAGTTTTGTATACAATTGTCTTTTAGACTCTTTTTTATAAGTTTGTGTGGATATTTTACTTTCATTATACAATCTTATTTTTACGTATGTAAAAATAATAGCATTTAATAATAAAAGTGAATGATCAACTTGTACTGATAATAAATAATCCCCAGGGTGTATTGCAAATTCTATTATAATTTAAAAAACAAATTAAAAAAAAAAAAAAAAAATATAAAAAAATTATTTATGTTTATTTACTTTTGTTATTTTATATTTTTATTTTTATGATAAACATTTATTATTATTATTATTATTTTGTGCAATTATTATTTAAAATTGATAATAAATTAAGAAAAACAATGAATTAATTTTTTTGTACAAAAGTCTCCAGCACTGCGAGCTTGGCACTTCTGCCAAGCTCGCAGTTAACGTTCAACGGGTCATTAAAAAAAGGGCTAGGTCCAGCCCTAACAACTACCGTTCTTCCTATATTTTATTATTATTGGCAAAATGTTTAAAAACAGTATAAAGCATATTATTTCATAAATTATAACTTCTCCCACTAATGTGGGAAAACCAAAATGATTTTTTAATGGTAACACTGATTCTAAATTACAATTATCAGTGTTTTATTTCAATTATAGCCTTATTTACGATATTATCAATACAAAAACCATAAACTTACACGTGAAAAGTAATTCCGCATGATTTATTAATGTTTTGTGACCTTGAATCGCATTATTTCACTACGCATTTAGCCATTTTGGCGATTGTTACTGTCATGTGTCGCTATGTTCAACTCGGTTGACGCCACATTGAATAATGAATTGACGTTTGCTACGCATATGCCTGTGGACATATGTGCAGTAGCAACGATTTTAGGCGGTAATTACTCATCTATGTAAGTATTATATCAATGTCAATAGTTTTTATATTTGCTAGAGTAAGATATTAAATATACAAATTTTAAAACATCTATGATTTACTAAATATTTATAAAATAGTGACACTTACACTTATTTTAGGACGTCTGTCTTGCTAACATGTATTTTGTCTTTGTTAATGCTCGATATGAATCTAGGAATAAGAACAGTCTGCTAATAATAATGAACGTATAAAACTAGTAAGCGACATCTGTTCCGATTTCCTAAAATACGAGCGAAAATAGTTCTTGAAAGAGGTCAACGTACGGAGAGTAACCGAGACACAATGTGCACAAGGCCGCCTTTCTCTCATCAGATAAACATAGATATTCTAATACTATTAAATATAAGCTATTATTATTATTACATTAATCAGTTCTATTAATGGGTTCAGGCCAGACCTCAATAACATTTGTTGTTTATATGTTTCACAGATAACTTTACATAGGTTTGTGATATATATCATGTTATTATTATTTAAGAACGAAGTATCTTGATATTTAATACTCAGTGGTTCTTGTATTTATATATTTTTATTATTATTTAAAAAAATTGGCATCTGGCAGATGTTAATCATCGAATATATACACGTATTATCACAAAGCGTGGTGACGCTAACGCATGCCGTGGCGACGCGAGCCACGCCAACAGCTGATCTGAATCGAAAAAAGGTCACTTAAATATGTGAGCACATGACGTTAATAAACATATCTCACGCACGGAAACATGTGGTCTCACTCTAGCTCACTTCAGGTGTTATATTCTACTCATATTATTTAAACTTATCGCACTTTATGTAAACTTAAATAGCACGTTAATTCTTTACTATTAGGCGCCTGGCAACCCAATACTAATCAAACTGCATTAAAATACAACACAGATATCCCCATATCTCGGTCTTAAAAGTTTATTGTAATTCTTTCATTGATGATAGTGTATACCTATGCATATGTGATGACAAAATAAACAAATTATATTGCAAAATATTTTTAAAATGTAGGTAGATGCGGTAGATGTAGGTAGGTTCCGACTTGTAAAAATGTCTGAAAAGATTTACTTGCAGAAATAAATATCATTTCATTTCATTTCCCACAGATTAATAGATAGATAGAAAACTCTTTATTTGTACACCGTTTTACAAGGTAGTATGGTACATAAAATGACAGATAATATATGTAACGTACAAAGGACCTCATTGCTAAGAGCAATCTCTTCAAGGCAACCTTAGGATGGATAAAAATGTTTCGGAGAGACAGTAGTATTTGATGGTGCAATGAGTTTATAAGGTTAATTGCTAATAAAATAGATAATAATTGGATATAAGAGATATACAGGGTTACCCTGCCAAAAAATATATTAACTATGTCAAGCACGTGATATATGTACGTATTTATGTTTCCTTTTCATTTCAGGGGTTAACGAAACGTTGCTGATATTGAGAGAAAACAAAGAAAATTATTTAACAAAAAATAAGGTAAGAGAAGAGGCTTAGACGAGTCTCATGTCATGTGTAACATTTGATGGCATACTCTAGCGCGGCCTTTCCCAGCTTCCTGTTACACATTTCTGTCCCTTTCCACAGAGATTGCAGGAATGCATAAGATGGTTTAATGATGTAAAAAGATTTACACATCAAGAAGTCACCTCAGTAGGCGCATTCAATAAATGCTCAACGGCGTTACCTCTACTAGTATTACATTTTTATTTTAATAAAATATATATTGATTAAAAAAAAACCTACTTTTTAAAGATACACGTGGGCGGAGCCATGGGCATAAGCTGGTATAAATTAACTGTAAAAATCAGTAAGTATATTTAATGTATCTAAGATGTCAACTTACAATCACAGAAAAAAATAAAAAGCATTTTTAACTTAAAAGTCAACTTTATTATGCACAAAAACATTTGTAAAATATACCTCATTTTACTTATAACGCAAATAAAGTTATTAATTTCATTGTAAAACATTGCAAATGCATTTACTGAGTAAATAAAAGGTAAAAGGTATATTAATTAGTCGATAATTTTACATGATTTTACTTTTATCATAATTATGTAAAAATATATGTATATATCTAACTTGATTAAAATTAACAAAAACAATAAATTTTAAGAAAATTCTTGAAATTATTAACATTCGATTCATAAACTTCTGAAATATGCAACCTTCTTTTAACGACTAGTGCTGGTTATGGAAAACGTTAAATAAACTATAAACAAATATCTCAAAAGTAAGCCGACTTAGAAACAAAGTTTTACCTGGTTAGCTCAAGCTAAGACCAGTAAAATTCGTTACGCTATACTTAAGAACTATATTTAAAATTCTAGTAAAATATTATATGTTATAATATGTAGTAAAATATTATTATATGTTCCAATATCGTATAAAGGCACAGTTTTTTAATTCTAGTTTTGACCGATTCAAAAAAGGATTCGTTCGCTCAAGTAGTATTTATTCGAAATGGTCGAAATGGGAAAATTCTTTTTCAAAATAATGAAAATCATAATTTTACACATTGCTTTAACAATAATATCGATAAGTGCTAGATAAAGGTGCAAAATATATCTATCCCTCTTTATACTTCGGTATAAAGATGGAAGAGATTTAGATTAGACACAACATTTAGATGTAGCCCACAGCAAATACAGTAATATCATTCAATTAAACAAACGGAGAAGACTACAGTAATGAACTCAAACAATTTGTACTATAGTTTATTACATATCAAAGATAATTGTAGACTCGCTACCTATTTCACTAACAAGTATTGTTAAAAATAACCCAAAATACCTAACAATGCGAACAAAATGCTTCTATGAAAAAAAAACAGCTCTAAACTACTGCGATACATGTAAATATACATATATTTACTCTTACGATACTATATTATGCTTTGACATACTATCAGTATATGTATAATATATTGGAAGATACTTTTAGAGATGTGACCAGGCAGCACCATCAAATTAATCTTAGCGCCCTCTAGCGAAAACAAGCCGCACCAGGTGGTAAGTACAAATCTTGCATCTCGCGAATTAAATTTTCGAGCGATTAGTTATACAACTTCCCAACATATTTCATTAGGCTGTCACTTGAATTCATTTTTGTATACAGTTGTATAAACTGATTGGATATGTAAATGTCTACAGGGTCAAAAGACCCTTATAATTTTTCTTATAAGTAAATCAATTTAATATATTTTACGTTGTACAAACTAATTAACAAATTAATTATATGTTAGTATTTAGTTATCTAAATGCTAACAATAAAGTTTCTTCAATTCTTTTTTTAAAATCTTCCCAGCAGCATTTTTTGGTATTTCTTTAACAAATTGTACTTCTCTGACTTTCTTGAACACAGCTACTTTACTGTTAACATAATCTAATATTTCTTCCTCTGGCAAGTTAACACCTTGTTGAGTGACTATGAAAGCTTTGGGATATTCGCCAGAGCTGGGGTCAGGAATACCTAAGACCGCACAGTCAAGGACCTTCGGATGTGTTCGTAGGACTGTTTCCAATTCCGCCGGTGGTACTTGGAATCCTTTAACCTGTAAAACATTAAAAAATTGAAATACGTAAATAAATGGAAAGCGTTTATCTTCACATTGCGATGTAGTTTTGGTAACTGACGAGTTTACTCTTCAGAAAAGTCTGTGGTGTCCTATTGTATATTATTGACTGTTTACAAACAAAGACAGAAGAATTTCATTAAGAATATTCTCCAAATATTAAAGAATAATAATAATATGATGCAACTAAATTTTATGCTGAATTCAATTTTTTTTTCTGAATGTTTTGAGAGACAGAGAACCTTTTTTTTTAAATGCCAGTTATCTTACGCGTTCAGTTCCCCGCTATGTTGCATGGGACCGGCCCGACCGAATAGGATACAACGAAAACCTACTACTATTTGTGCATTAAGCAAATATTTTTTCCGTGTCGGATTGAACCCACTACTCGGCGTGACTAAGTGCCAAAAAGATTCTTGAACCACTACGCCATACGTGCACTTTAAACCCTCCGTCACATTCTTAGAGTCGTAACTAAGGTTATATGTGCCCAGAGCCCCCACGTAAAATATTTCCAGTCATGGTCTGCGCCTTGTGCGTAAAGACTGCTGACACCATAATCATTGCATTCATTCTCATTTCTTGTTCTGATAGTAAATAACACTAGCAGGACATACCTTTATAAGTTCCTTCAACCGATCCGTGATGTACAAGTATTTATTGTCATCGTACCGGCCAATGTCACCGGTCTTGAGCCAACCGTCCTCCGTTAGGACTTCTTTAGTCGCCTCCTCATCTCCGTAGTAGCCGGACATCAGATTCGGACCACGGTACCAGAGTTCACCCTCCTGCAATTCATAATTAATATTTATTAAGAATTTAAATACGCATCTATCTATAGTTGATACGTGTGGTAACGGTTTAAGAACCGAATGTCACCACCCCTATTCATCCCGTGGGTGTCGTAAGAAGCGACTAAGGGAGCAAACTACGCAGAACAAAAGCACTGCAACGAGAAGGAAAACTTGACACAAACCCTGTACCAACCCGTCTGGCCAGCGTGGTATAGTAGGCCAAAAACTCTTTTCTAAGAAGTCTCATATCCTGCAATGGACTATTAAAGGCTGTTGTTGATGATGATGAAGAATTAAGCAGTTCGTGAACGATGTAAAACAATAGGTAACACTCGTGGTTAGCTTACAACTTTGTGCCTTGCTCTGTCAATCGTTAGCATCGTAGTTATAGCCAATTAGACTAGTTTCAGTTCAGAGACGGCAGTAAAAACCGTTGAAGACAATTTCAAAGCAACTCGAACAAAAACGCTTCATAAGCATAAAAGAGTAATTTATTAAATTACATAATGCTTAATGGGTAAGTTAATTTACACGATAGGGAAAGTAAAGCATATAATAAAAAATTTTTTTTTTTTTTTTTTGCTTTTATTGTTAAATTAGTTTAAAAAGACAAAATAGAGAACTAAAATTATTAGGTACTACGTTACATTTGTTTGAAGGAGTGTCTGTCAAAGTGAAATCAGTTTTGAACGTAGTAAATGAACTAAATACTTGCCTGTCCTGGTCCTAAAGCTTCCTGCGTCTGTAAGTCTACAATCTTAACTTCACTACTCGCCAACACGTAGCCTACAGAGTCGTGAGTCACGTCTAAATTCTTCGCTATCGAGACAGCGCCGTTGGTCTCAGTTAATCCATACCCTTGACGGAAGTTTATGTTTTTCTGAAATTAATGTTTAATTATTTGTTAATCGTTTAGAGAATTTTGCATATCAGAATTAGAATCAGTAACTTTACGGGTTATAATTATCTTACGCCATAAGAATATACAAGATATAAGTGTATACACAATATCTGCTAGCAGCAATTAGGCAGATAATTAATTTTGAGAAAAAATATTTGTATGAGAAGGTACTGGTAAAGTTGGGTCTTGTTGATCCCTCAACTGATCTCTATTCTAAAGCGAATTGTCTTGATAGACGATTGGATTAACAATACGGAGTATCACCACCCATATTCATCCCGTAGGTGTCGTAAGAGCCGGCTAAGGGAATAAACTACGCAGGACAACAACGCTGCAAAAAGAAGGAAAACTTGAAACAAACCCTGTACTAACCCGTTTGGCCAGCGGGTTTTAGTAGGCCAAAACCTCATTTCTAAGCCAGCCATTGGACTACTAAATACTGATGATGATGATTTAAAAAAAAAACAAACTAAATCTTAAGCTAAAAAGGCGCTTTGGATTTTCGTGTACTTATTTACCACACAACTCGGCATTTCATTTTCGAAATTCAAAATTAAAAAAAAAAAATTTTTTAACACGATCGTCACATAGGATCGCTGGCCACACAACTACTACCTCCGGCAAACTCGCGTGAATGCTCTATGCAAAACAAAGCAGTACAAACTGTGAGTTTACTGCGATTGTGATATAATTTTGACCTGGCTTTGGATTTCGGATATTGATACTAGAGTTGTGTAGCTCCTGAGTGTAAAATATATATATAGAGTATAAAATATATATAGAGAATATATATATAGAATATATAATAATATATATAGAGTATAAAATATATATATCATTCACGACGATAAAATGTATCACTCACTCACACTAGCTCCGAATATATCAGTAACTCACTACTAGCTCACTAGATCACTAGATCACTAGCTCAACGACGCCGATCTTTGTTTCATGAGCGAGTGAGACTAAAGATAAATGAGTGAGATAGATGATGGTTGAGTTCACGCAGGTTTCTTTATGCAAAATGTACATTATTTCAATAGGATCAAAGTTTAATATTACTTAAGAATTAAGTCAAGTACAAGGAAAATCAAATTATGTATGATTTCTATTATACAACCTAAAAAAAAGTACAAGAAATAATTTCTTATTTTTAATTATTATGTAAAAGGATGTTAATAATTATGTAATCTTATCAAAATGAATAAAATTGTATTTAAAATAAATTAGTTAAAAATGTAGTTTCAAAAACTGAATTTAGGTTAATATGAAAATAAAGAAAGGTTTGTATGGCGAGAGAGGCTTAAAGTGAGTGATATACGAGTCTACTGAGCCAAACGATCTAGATGAAGAAATGAATTAATTGTGAGACCAATCAATTGAATCGGATCAATGAGCTAGTGAGCTATACGAGTTAGTGAGCTAAATGAGCTAGTGAGCTAAACGAGTTAGTGAGCTAAATGAGCTAGTGAGCTAGATGAGTGATATATATCTTTTGAGCGAAATGATATATATCAATCTTCTCAGCTCAGTGATGCGCAAAATGTATCACCATTTTGCGCATCACTAATTGATACTGCAGTACTGTTGACCCTTTCTTGACCTTGACCCTTTTTTTGGTCTCTTTTTGTATTAATTTGTTTCTTGTGTGCATATAAAGTATGTATATTCATTTTCATTCCAATATTCAGATCGTTGAAATATATTAAGTAAGCATTTATATTTTTGTTTTATTAAACCTTTTTAATCAGGTACTACGAGTACTTGCAATAAAAACATAGATTTCATTATATTTTTTTCGAGAATTAATTGCCATTTCACTTCACTGTTGTAATACGTCAAAACGGTCATCATAGCGTGCCGCAACTATAATCTACGTGAACTAGACTTGACTTTTGACTGCCTCGTGGGTGCAGTGCTAGCGTATGTTACTGCTCTGCTAAGGTCTCGGGTTCGGTTCCCGGATCGGACCAAATGTTTTTATGATCAGCAAATATTTGTTTTGGAGTTTTGGTATTTTTTATATGTATATGTGTAGCATAGCTATATAGCGGGTCAACTAGTTAAATATAAAAATATCAATATTGATATTTTTATATTTAACTAGTTGACCCGGCAAACGTTGTTTTGCCATATACATTATTTCTAGAAAATATTTACCCTTCTCATTTAGGGGTATGAAAAATAGATGTTGGTCGATTCTCAGACCTACCCGATGTACACACATAATTTCATAAAAATCGGTCCAGCCGTTTCGGAAGAGTATGGTAACTAACATTGTGACACGAGAATTTTATATATTAGAATATAATTTTAATTAATTTGAAGATTTTATCTGTAAGTAGTTACCTAAATAGTAGGCTTATTAATATGTAGAATAGTAGACATAATATTTACGTAAATTGATAGACAGACAAAACTATTTCTGTTATGTATCTATAATAATGTAAAAAATGAGGAACGCGTAATCGGTTTGTTAAGGCGAGCGGGCGAGGTCTTGCGCCTGCGCTGTGCGCCAATCGTATAAACACTGCGACGCTTACTGTGTGTCCGTCGTGCCCTTACCGATTGCATCCCTCATGTCGCGTGTGTCATATCTCATGTTTAACCTTGCCTAAAAAACTACACCTAGTTCTATTAAATATTCTTTAGTTCCTTTCTCCTTCCAATCTACTCTTCTGTCTTATTGTGACTCATTTTAAATTTATTAAAGCCACAAACGTGTGGCTTTAATAAATTTCTAATATAATGTCATAGTTTCAAGCTCTGCTTAGTTTGAAACTAGATGGAGAAACTATGTGTCAGATTGCCTAAATATTATTATAATTGAAACTACTTCGCTTTCCAACTTAGCCATTCATCAGAATAAGCAGTATCCCACTCCTAGTCTTCCCTTCTATATACTCCTAATTTTCCCATACAATTCGCAAAGTGCGAGGTTGCCAGCAATAAATGGAATTAAAGTCGGTAAAATGTTTTATTTTAATACGACCTCTGTCTATCCTTTTCGGCGAGTAGGTGTTAGCGTATTCATAAATAGAAACCCATGTCATTCATACTATGGTAAACAACAAGATAACGATATCTTATCTTTGCTAATTGATTAATATTGAGAACTTAAAAGTGATACAGTCCGATGCAAACTTAATGGCGGCTCGGAACATCGTGCGTTTCAATGCGCAGAACACAATAATAGACAGCAGCGGGACGTAACGGAGCGGACGGGCAGGCGACACACGACACGCATGCCTTTTAGTGTGTGAGTTACATCCGTACACTGAGTCGTCTGACAGTCGAGTCGACTTGACTGTAGGTACCACAGCTAACTTCAGCAGCGCTATTCTCTAAGCCCCGAGGAGGTTTCCACACGTAAAAAAGAAAGCGCTGTACGCTTGTTTCCTTAGAAAATAGCACTGCAGAGCCGCCATTAAGTTTCCATTGGACTATACCAGGGCCTCAAAGAAAACCATTGTTAGGCAATTCTTTCGTCGCTTTTCACCGGAGTCCAAACACCCCCCTTTGAATATTGGAGGAGGGAACTCAAGGGGCGGCAACATATTTGTGACTCTTTAGATGAGTGTCCATGGGAGGCGGTGGTCACTTACCATCAGGTGACCCGTCTGCTCGTTTGCCCTATGTCACAAGAAGAAAAAGAACTCGCAGGCATTTTGATGAATGTATGTAAAACCATTGAGTTAAAATATATTATATCAATGCGTAAAACGGTGTAAAATCCCACTACTTTCGTATGTTTTAATACGAAATCCAAAAATTGAACCGTACATGTCTGACGCATTGTTAGCATTATCAAACAATGAATTTCTACGATTGACATAATTTATTTGCTAAGCGATCCTTGAGTTTGGTAAATTTGGAATCTAATCATCATCATTTACTAGTCCATTGCTGGACATAGGCCTCTCCTTAGAAAGGAGGTTGTGGCCTGCTATTAAGTAATAGATATCTCCAATTTATAACTCTGGTTTGTGAAGTTCCATATCCTACATAGCAACATATCCAGCTGTATCGTTATGTACATTCGAGTACCTTAAAGCATCTTTTTAAAAGTGATCAATGGCTCTAGAATTATTAAATACAATATAACTTAAATTTCTAGAAAGAATTACTATTATCTAGTATACTATTACAAAATCACGTTATCATGGATCGAATTCTTTCGAATCGTACGTTATCACTTCAAACAAATTGTTTTGTACATTGTGATTTAATATTTTATTGCTTGACAATAAGTTATTTCGAAATCTAAACTAACAATTTTAAGGTCATAGATAGATAATATTTTGGATTAGATTTTAAATCTATTACACATACTGTACTGTAACTGTAACAGTACTGAAACTGGACCAAAACGTTTTACGTATTTTTCTTTACAACAGGTTCTAATGTCATAGTAACAGCGTTTTATTGCATGCATCTAAATGTTTACATGTTATTTTAAAAAATTTACATGACCTTTATTATTATATTCTATAATAGATTGACTGCGAGGATGGCTTAAGCGGTCGCCACGCCGCGCCGCTTCCTACTACGCCGCGTGTGGTGGGTTCAATCCCCACATGGGATGACACTTCGTGTAATCCACACATTGTTGTTCTGAGTCTGGGTGTTCTTTGTGTCCGTTTCAGGTATGTATGTAAAGTCCCTCGCGACACAGGATATGTTCTTTAAGAAAAAAAATTATAGAAACATTCACATACTTATAAATCATTTTTGTAAGTATTTAAAAATCATTGTTTGTTTGTGTTTCGTTCGTTAAGGTACCGTTCCTCGTAACCGATTTAATGATCACCATACCGGTTTTCATTTCCATACACATTGCCAGATATACAGTAAAGGACAGGATATTTTTCACCCAGAAAAAAATAATCTAAAGGATAACACATTGCAACGTTATGCTATCCTAGCCAGGTCAGTCTATGAATGGGTGACTATTCTTAAAACAATGAGACCCCCCGGAGATCACGCTAAGCCGTCAGTCCCGGTTGCCATACGAACATCTGTGGCAATCGTTGAGCCCTGAAAAGTTTGACAACAATCTTTCTACAGAACTTCGACATCGCCTGTTACCCACTTGGGTTATGGACTTGTGGAGGTCTGATGGCAGTCGCCGCACATAAGAAATCGAAGTTTCAGCGGTATTTTATATAGTAGACTTAAAGCCGACCCCAAACTAGTTTAAGAAAAAGCGGAGGAAGGAGGGAAAAGTATAGATACCTAATTTAATAAAATACATTTTGTAACGTGAATATCAATATTGTCACATTTAAAGGTGTGTACATAAATAATTTTGTGTGACAACATGTTGGTACGATTGCGTATCGGGCGTTCAACTATGTGTTTACATCACAACTTATTGAGTATATCCACAGCTACTGACCGCAACTGATTGCTATAACAAGTATTACGACTTATCCATGTATGTTTTAATATACATCATCATCATAACACAAACTTTGTATGTGTAATGATGCTACACTGTTATTCTTTTTTACTAATAATATTAATCTTTTAAGGCTAAGTTGTAGGTTGGACTAAAAAATAAGTTAATTGTAAATGTTATAATTGAATACGCCTCTATCTACCTAATTACAGATAAAATAAGTGACATAATTTTTTCCTCAAGAAATTAATGGTCGGTTAGGTATACGTCAATATCAGTTCACTAAAAAGAGGTACATTTTTTACATACACTACTTATTAAGATTTAAAAAGGTCGAATGGAAGAAGTTGTATGGCAAACTTCTAATTCCTCAAAAATGTAGTTGTATTAAATAAGCATGTCTAGGAATTGTCATAAAATGCAATGATACTGCTGTTAAAAGATAAGAAGAGTAGGTCAGTGCTTATTATTATAGATCTTCTAAATATGTAATAGATTTGACTGAATATATGACTGAATAAATAAGACTTGAATTTGATTGATTTGATTTGAAGTTAAATTGATTTAGATTTTATGCAATTTCTCGTAGAACATGATTTGAAGATCTTTAAGTGTAAATTATTTCGAAAACATTCTGGATTTCTTTTTGGTAAGTGTAATTTATTTTAATGTGTTTTGTTTAACTATTTACTTCTAAATCATTCTAAAAGATGCCAAAAATTAAAAAATTAAAATAAATACAGGTAGTTCAGTGGCATTTTTAGTCGAAAATAGATAACGTTTTAAAGATACAATAGAAGCCCAGTGCACGTTATAGTGTACCAATGTTTATTGAGTGTAAAAAAAAATATCCCGCTGCAGTCTAGACTGTATTGCATACCGGCTAAAGGACTAAAGGCCGGACTCAGGACCCCTTGTATAAACTGAGTTATTATTGCATTGGTCGCATTGTTATTGGGTTGTCCGGTAGTACAAAGAGGTCGCCGGTAAACGGCAATATTTGTCTTTATTACGCTCGGTCAAAAATATAATTAGCCGAATGTGTAACAGGTAGAATAAGGTGATATCGTGGTTCTTGAAGACGCTAATTTTTATTTTATAATAAATTAAATACACACGCACTCACGCACGCACCTAGGTATTGCATGCACATATTGCATTATTTTTATAATGTTGCTACATAATAAAATCTAGGAATTGCTATAGCGTGTGAAATATTTTTTTGAATTTAATGTTTATTTTAAATAAGCATTAAATTCGAAAAATTTATTTCACATGCTTAGTTGCAAGCCTGTACTTAATAGAGTTTTACACAATATTTGCACAGCACTATAACCGATTATTGATAAAACAGTGGGTATTTAATTTACCGGCCTTAAACTTGCCACCAAGTTTCTTAGTTCACGGGATTGAAGTACCCATCCATATTTCTAAAGCATATTTTTATTTTACGATAATCATAATAATCCCTTTATATCGGAATATACATTATTTATAAGTCTTTAATTGACCTTAATAACTATGTTAACACATATAATTGGTATAAATATAATTAACTAGCTGGTGGCCGCGACTTTGTTCGCGTGGAATTTGAAAAGAGTTGCCTTAGTGAGTTCGGTTCAGCCGTTTTGAAGATTACCCGGAACAAACAGACAGACAGGCAAAAAGACAGACAAAAAATATTTAAACTGGTTTTTAGGCATAGGTATCGTGCAAATAACCGTGTAAGCATGAAAAAAACTATTATTTTGACCTTACAAACAGACACTGCAATTTTATTTATTTGTATAGATTAAAGGACTGTCATGTCTGTCCGCAATGTCAGTCAGGAAACGGTCAGGGCTACCACGTTTCTTCTGCAGCAGTAAACACGATCGCTTTCGCCGCCTGGTTACTGCAAAGTCATCTGTGTGAGCATCGGCGAACATGCCAGAGACACTGCACCACCGTGCAGCCCTAACAGCATCTTGAATGCATTGTAATACTGGATAAATTATAACTTGATAAACTCTACTCACATTTTTAGCTATGACGGCTTCTATGTCGGAGGCGGACAGTGGAGCAGCACCACAGATGATGCTGTACAATGTTTCAAGGTGTTTAGGAGTCACTGCTGGATGCTTCCCGAGGAATATCGCTGTAACATATAGTCATAATCTTCATGGTTATTCTACTACTACATTAAACATAAAAACTAGCTGACTCGTATAGGAGGGTGAAAAATACTTTACGACCATACTAACCTACCAAATATACAAAAAAAAAACATTAAAATCGGTCGACCCGTTTCGGAGGAGTGTGGGGACAAACACCGTGACACGAGATATTTATATATTAGATTGTTTATTTCTAAAAAAATCTGGAAAATTCTAGAGTGTAAAATAGAGCATGATTATTGCCTTACTTACTTTTTCAAAATTATACAGACATAGAAGGTACATTCATACATACGTTATTCGTTTTTAAAGTAGGATTTAAAAAAAACACAGCTAGGTGTTAGTTTGTTAGTGCGAAAACTATATTTTGTCATTTATGGTAGCCCTTTTAGGGAGTCGTGCCTATTTTAACTACTCCAAAGCTTGTTTGTCTAGCTTATTTCGATTAGCGATTAAAAGTACCTATTATGAAACGAGAGCCTAATCTTAAATAAAAATAATGTACTGATAATATTTTCAAGTTTACACCGATTGTGCTTTTGTATGTTTACCTAGCATTTTTCTCTATTAATTTATTTACGATAATTAGCATGAAATCAATAATTAAAGTCCGTAAGTTGAGAGTAGTTTTCTTGACTGTTTGAAGGTCGTATCGATTCGGAAATAACGCAGACGATATTTTTTATCATACTTCAATATAATTTACGAAATATGCAATGCGCTAACAAAGAAATAAAAACCTACTAGTGCGAAATAATACATTGAGTATTTTAATTATTTATATTTTTTAATTTTAATAAAAATAATAACTAATTTAGCAAGTGTACGTACATAAATTGTTAGTTAGATTTTAATGACGTCATGTCATTAAAATCTAACTAACAAATTAATTAATAGTATTGTCATAATTGTTTACGTTTACGGGTTTTCTGCATAGAAACAGTAGTAGCAATTACAAAATTGTGAAATTACAGGTAGTACCCATTTACAATCTTCAGAATAACATCAATACGCATCTTCAGATGCAAAACACGTTATTGATTTAGAAAAATTATGTAAGTTTTAATGAATCACAACATACTATACAATAACTATAACAAATGAATTTACGATCGAAACATCGTTAATTGTTTCAAAATAGTTATCATCATCATCACATCAACAGCCTTTAATAGTCCACTGCTGGACATAGGCATCTCCTTAGAAAGGAGGTTTTGGCCTACTATATAATACCACGATGGCCAGACGTGTTGGTATAGGGTTTGTGTCAAGTTTTCCTTCTTTTTGCAGTGGGTCCGTGTAGTGACGGATTAAGAATACGGAATGTCACTACTCCAATTCATCCCGTGGGTAGCGTAAGAGCCGACTAAGGGCGCAAAACAAATAGTTATCCGTGTGTCTAATCATTTAGTCTGTTTTTGATCTGGAAGAAACACACGTAGTGTTGTAACAAACAAATGTAAAGTCTATATAAGGAACCTATATTATTACAGTCAGCATCACATCGACCCGCCTAAATCTGTCGAAATGCCATCTCTTTAATAACATTTTATTATACACCTATTACGTAATAACATTTTATTATACGTACAATAAAAGTTTTTTTTTAATATATTTTACAGCTCAGGGCCATGTGATAAATAAATAATGCATATAACATGTTAAATTTAAAAGTTACGTTCATTTTATTTGCCGTACACGGTCGTAAATGTTTTTTTTTCTGATTATTCTCAAAATTAAATAAATATGGATACATTTGTTCAGTTCAGTCACGAAAAGCGTAAAATTAAACTGAACCGAACAAATTAATAAACTATTCAATAATACCAAAGACGATCGCTGGCCTAGCAAGTCTTTTGCTCATTTACGATTTATAATATGTATCCATTAATCTTTTCCTCTGAAATAATTAAAATGTAACATTAAAATTAAAAAAACAACTGTTTTAAGAAGTCTAAGAAGAAATAACGAATCACGCTGTCGTTGAAATGAATTGCAGAAATTTAAACTGTAACATTTCGCATTACATCTTTCAACTCAGTATTATAAATTTATACTTCTTTAAAAATTGTACAAAATAAAGTAAAATTCTTTTGTATTTCGTTCAGAAGGCCAACTCTCATAATATAGGTCAGTCACAATGCAGTTTCGCTCACCTCTCAATCTCACAACTGTCATAAATGGTATTTTCGTATGAAACATCCAACGTTTATATAGTAATCGAATCGATAATCTGCTAGTCTTGGTAATACTTTACTACATTCATCACACATCAACAGCCTATACTAGTCCACTGCTGGACATAGGCCTCTCCTTAGAAAGGAGGTTTTGGCCTACTATACCACGCTGTACGAGGGGTGATCAATAAGTAATGATAATCGAGTATTTCTAGAACGCACAAAACCCAAATTATTATTTTTCTGCTTGCTTATATATCCACTACTTCAGCTTCAAAAAAATGTATAAATAGGACACCATTACCGGGAGATACATTCATTTGAATACGAACTGTCGAAGAGAAAACATCAAAATGGAGAAAAATGAAATAAGAGCTGTCATCAAGTACCTCTGCCTAAAAAAAATGTCTACCAAAGACATACACAGCGACTTAGAGGAAACATTGGGGGAGTCTGCTCCTCCATATTCCACAGTCGCACGCTGGGCAAAGGAATTTAAGCTGGGCAGAACCTCCACTGAAGATGCATATGAAAAAATGCATATGAAAAAGGTCTCTGCGCGTTGGGTACCGAGAATGTTAACCGACGAGCAAAAATAGAAACGAGTCGACATTTCGAGGGTGAATGTTCAAAAGTTCCAGGCCGATAAAGAATTTTTTTTGTCGCGTTTTGTGACCATGGACGAGACCTGGATCCACCACTTTGATCCCGAAACCAAACAACAATCAATGACTTGGAAACGAGCTTCCTCACCAACGCCGAAGAAATTCAAAGTGTCAAGTTCAGCGGGAAAGGTTATGGCGTCTGTTTTCTGGGATGCAGAAGGAATTATTATGGTGGAATATTTGGAAAAGGGGGCCACTATAACAGGCTCTTACTACGCAGGCCAAATAAGAAGATTGCGAGAAGCTATTAAGTCAAAAAGACGCGGTAAACTGCGCGCTGGAGTGCTGTTTCACCAAGACAACGCCCCGGCTCACAAAGCCGCAGTTGCGATGGCTGCCATTGAAGAAACGGGGTTCGAACTGCTCGAACACCCTCCTTATTCGCCAGATCTAGCTCCCAGTGACTTCTACCTCTTTCCTCGGCTCAAAGAACACCTCCGGGGCAACAAATTTGAGGACAATAGTGAAGTGATGGCCGCAGTAGAGGCATTTTGGGAGGGTCAAGACAAAGAATTTTTTTCTAAGGGAATCATGGGCTTAGAAAAAAGATTCACTAAATGTATTAACTTGCAAGGAGACTATGTTGAAAAATAAAATACTTTTTTTAATCTAATAGTTCTGTTTCATATTGATTATCATTACTTATTGATCACCCCTCGTACATACAAATACAAATATAGGTAAAGTAGGTAGGTACTTAAAACTGATGATAATAATAAACATGATTAGATTGTAAATAAATAATGAAAAATGGTAAAAGTATGTTGTGGACATAGTAACTATCCCACGCTGGCCAGACGGGTTGGTATAGGGTTTGTTTGCGACTAGCGTCTGGGCACGTCCTTGTGCTGGGGGACTTCAACGCAAAGTCCATTGCGTGGGGTTCCCCCAGGACGGACGCCAGGGGCGAGGCCGTAGAGGAGTGGGCGGCCTCGGTGGGCCTCTGTCTTCTAAACAGAGGCTCCACCAACACGTGCGTGCGACAGCAGGGGGGGTCGATAGTGGACCTCTCGTTCGCTACCCCTGCCCTCGCCGCACGAGTAAGGAACTGGCGTGTCCTGGAAGAGGTTGAGACGCTCTCGGATCACCTGTATATCCGATTTGAGCTCTCCCGGACCCAGGACTCCAGTAGGGGTCACGTGGCGCGGCGTTTATCCCGCTTTCCGCGGTGGGCTGTTGCCAGGCTGAACCGGGACCTACTAGAGGAGGCAGCCATAATTCACTCGTGGCTGTCTCCTCAGGCTCCGACCGAGGAGGTCGACGTGGGGGCTGGCCGCTTTCGCGATGCGATTACGCATGTATGCGATGCGGCCATGCCCCGCGTTCGAGGTCGTCGGCCTCCAAGGAAGGAGGTCTACTGGTGGTCCCAGGAGCTGGCGGACCTCCGTGCGGCCTGTACACGTGCCCGGAGGTCCTACACGCGCAGTCGGCGGCGTCACCGTGGAGACGGTGAGGAGGACCGGCTTCATGAGGAGTACCGACGGGCGCGGAAAACTCTGAAGCTGGCCATTAGCCGCGCCAAAGAAGAAAAAAGACAGGAGATGCTGGAGGGTCTTAATCGTGACCCCTGGGGTCGCCCTTACCGCGCGGTGCGACAAAAGCTCCGCGCGTCGGGCCCCCCCCTTACGGAGACTCTCCAGCCCAGCTTCCTGCGAGAAGTGGTTGAGGGCCTTTTCCCACAACGGGCGGAACACACTCCCCCGTCGATGGCCTCCTTGGCCGGAGACGACGGGGAGCACGGGGAGGATAATGTTCCGCCCGTCCGGGAATCGGAGGTAGGGGCGGCTGTTCTACGGATCCGTTCCAAGAACACCGCCCCTGGGCCAGACGGGGTACCGGCCCGAGTGCTGGCCCTGGCCCTCAACCACTTGGCAGACCGCCTCGGGGAGGTGTTCGACGCTAGCTTGGCGTCGGGACGCTTCCCTGAGTGCTGGAAGAGCGGGAAGCTGGTCCTATTGAGGAAGCCGGGACGGCCTGCCGATTCGGTCGCGGCCTATAGGCCCATCGTGCTGCTGGACGAGGCGGGCAAATTGTTTGAGAGGGTTCTTTCTGCCCGCATCGTCCGGCACCTCTGCGAGGTGGGCCCCGATCTGTCGGACGCCCAATTTGGTTTTCGGGCGGGGCGTTCGACAGTCGACGCTGTGTTGCGCCTGAGGGCCGTGACCGAAGAGGCCGTGAGCTGTGGCGGCGTGCTGTTGGCGGTGTCATTGGACATCGCCAACGCATTCAATAGTCTGCCATTCAGCTGCATCAGGGAAGCACTCCACTATCATGGGGTGCCAAAGTACCTGAGGCGGCTGGTGGCAGACTATTTAGAGGAGCGTACCGTCGTGTACGAGGACCGAGAAGGTAATTTGAGGAGTCGGCCCATGTCGTGCGGTGTTCCACAGGGGTCTGTTCTTGGACCCCTCTTGTGGAACATGGGGTACGACTGGGCCCTTCGCGCCGATTTCCCCCCCGGGCTGGGTGTAATCTGTTACGCAGACGATACCCTCGTGACAGCCCGGGGGGCAAACTTCCAAGAGGCGGCGCGCCTGGCCACAGGGGGAGTCTCCCTGGTGGTCGGGCGCATTGAGGCGCTGGGCTTACGGGTGGCCCTAGATAAGACGGAGGCCCTGTTATTCCATGGGCCCCGTCGTGGTCCACCCCCTGGCGCCTCCATTGTGGTCAACTCGGTCCTCGTACCGGTTCGGGCCCAGATGAAATATCTGGGCCTGATCCTCGACGGGAGGTGGCTCTTCGACGAGCACTTCCGACAGCTTGCTCCAAAGCTGGTCGGCGCTGCGTCTGCCCTAGGGCGACTCTTGCCCAATATGGGTGGACCCAGCGTCGCGACAAGACGGCTGTACACGGGGGTTGTCCGGTCAATGGCACTGTACGGTGCACCGGTGTGGGCGGCGGCTCTGACCGCCCAGAATAGGGTACGCCTCTGGCGCCCTCAGAGGGTAATGGCGGTCAGAGCCATACGCGGTTACCGCACCGTTTCGACGGAGGTGGCATGCGCATTGGCCGGAACTCCCCCGTGGGATTTGGAGGCGGAAGTGCTCGCCGAAGTTTATCGGCGAGTGGCTGACTTCCGGGCGGAAGGCGGATTTCGCCCTCCGCCCGAGGATGTGCGCGAGTGGCGCGAAGCCGCTCGCCGAGCCACGATGGCTCGTTGGTCGTTCCGGCTGGAGACTCCACGCGCTGGCTTCGCCGCCGTGGAGGCTCTCCAGCCGGTCATCGCCGAGTGGGCAGGGCGGCAGCACGGGACCCTTTCCTTCCGACTGACGCAGGTGCTTTCCGGGCACGGTTGCTTCGGAAAGTACCTGCACACGGTCGCTAGGAGGGAACTGAGTCCCGCCTGCCACCACTGCGACTGCAGTGAGGACTCGGCCCAGCACACGCTGGCGGTCTGCCCCGCATGGGCGGCGCAGCGCCGGGCCCTCACTGCAGTCATCGGAGTGGATCTCTCGCTACCGGCCGTAGTACGCTCCATGGCCGGTAGCGACAGTTGTTTTACCGCGGTCGCAACCTTCTGCGAGGTAGTAATCTCGCGGAAGGAGGCGGCGGAGAGGGCCCGGGAGGACGACCTCCACTCGGACCCGATCCGCCGCCGGCGAACCGGGCGGCGGAGGCCCGGCTATCACAGCCTCATGCCGCCCTGAGTGTGGCCGCGGGTGGACGGGGTGGGTTTCCCCTCCACCCGCATTAGTTGGCCAGCCGCGAGGGGGCGGCGTCCGCGTGTGCCGGACGTCGCCTAAAGAGAGGGAAAATATATCGAGACGGAGCCCGCACCAGGAGCGGGCTGGCGCTAGGAGGGGTCCGGATGTCTTAACAACAGCTGTTCCCGGATCCCTCCTGTTACAGGCGCAGAGTGGCACACCGTGTGGTTTTAGTCGGTCCGAGTCCGACACACCACCCCGCCGCAAACCCCGGAGGGGTGACGGTCCGAGGGGATTTCCACACGTTAAAAAAAAAAAAAAAAAAAAAAAGGGTTTGTTTCAAGTTTTCCTTCTCTTTGCAGTGCTGTTGTCCTGCTTAGGTTGCTCCCTTAGTCGGCTCTTACGACACCCATGGGATGAATTGGGGTGGTGACAATTTGTATTCTTAATCCGTCACCACACGGACTTCTTATCCGTCACCACACGGACTTCTTAATCCGTCACCACACGGACTACTTACTATATTACTACGAATATACTTCTTATAACTGTTGCGAGATCGAGAGTTGATAGGAACTAAATTGTGGTACCTTCAGATCGTGCAAAGCTACGTTCTCTAGTCACCGTATGTCAGTCTCATCTGTCAATTTGACCTAGAATGATACATTTTTTAAAAGCATTCTAGCCTCAATATTTTTCTACTCTCGGGTTGAAGCGATGATTAACTTGGAGCAGTAATTTAGCTATGTAAAATACTCCTAAGCGCGCTTATTCCTTTAGATTTATATGAATTTTAGATCTAATTTACAAACCTTAATACCTAGACTTAAGTTATAAACCCTGAGTACCCAGGTTTCAACATACATGATTTGTAGACTCGATAAATATACACAAAGTAACTTTACTTGATTCTAAGATCAGCAATGCTCAAGGCGTTTTGTTTTGTGAATTAAGGTATCAAATATTAAAAACAAGAGCCCTACCGTCACGGTTTTTTTGATGTGAAACATCTAATCCTGAAGGTCGGACCGCATATGTATAATGTGAATGAATGAATTCATGTAATGAAGTGTGGCGACGCGTCGCCATATTTCTTTAAAAAATCTAAATATTATATGTTTATTTGTGATATGTTTATTATTTCCTTTCATAAGCAATCCTTTTTGACTCATTATTTATACAAAATAATTTTGATGTTTAACATCTCCCAACAGTTTTTTACGTATGATACTATCATACATGATATTATTCAAACAATGTTATGTACATTGGTTATTAATAGGTTAATTCTGATATGTACTACTACTCACCCGTAAATTTTAAAAAATATAACAAAAAGGCATGTAGAAAATTACATACCCATCGGTGGAACCAAAAACAAACAATCAGCTTTGTACTGCACTAGCGTCTTCAGGAATAACTCTGGTTTGAAATACGGTAAGGTGACTAACTTAGCACCCATTGACATCTGGTTAATCATCACGGCGTTAAATCCAAAAATGTGGAAGAATGGTAAAATAGCTGGCAACACTGGCTGGTAGGTAGCTGTGAGAAAGAAAACTAGATTTAGAACTCTGTTGTTTAAAAAAAATGTATGTGAAAGATGACATGGGAAGAAAGAAAAGAACTGCAGTGAAAGGAGATTAAACTGAAGACAAAAAAAAAATTGGTCCAAATTGGTTGGTAAATTGGTATCATTGAAACAAGAGAAGGAATAGAAGAAAGTTCAGTTAAATTAACTAAAATGAAATGTCTTATTTATGTATTTAACACTACATGCATTTAAATAGTACGAGGCGGTCTTAATGTCATATGGCATTATCTACCAGTCAACCATTGGGAGGTTCTGTGGGGGCCATGGCAAGTGTATCAGATCAAAAACGATTTAACAATGTTATCTACACATCCATACAAATAAACGAACACAAATAAATAAACACAGTACGGTTATGAGACAAGTATTTTTTGTTATCTTGTTTGATAAAATATATCTAAAATCGTTGCTGAGTACATGATACACAAACAGTGCATTGGACTGCATTGTTCGTATTCGACTTTCATATATTTTTTATCTTAATCTCTTTGCGGCAATTTGCAGATCTGTGTCTTGTGCCGTTGACTAATGTCAATAATAAATAAATAAATATTTCAGACAACTGAAACACAACGCCATCTAGTTGTAAACTAAGCTGGGCTTGTACTATGAAAGCTAGATTTACGGATAGAATACTACTAATACTTTTTTTTTGTAAATACATACATATTATACATAGAAAACCCCTAAACTCCGAAACAAATATTTGTAGATCATATAAACATTTAGTCCAACCCGGCAATCGAACCCGAGACCTCAGCACAGCAGTCGCATACGCTACCACCGAGGCATAATCTTAATGACGTTGTTGAGTCTTTGATTCCGCAAAAGAAAGTATTGAAAAAACACTTACCAGTAGTTTCTTTGATAGCGACAATTTCTGGATAGGCAATTTGCTGATTCAGTGCTACAACACCTTGGTGTGTCAGTACCACAGCTTTGGGTAGCCCTGTAGTCCCACTAGAGAATGGTAAAATCGCTAGATCTTTTGGACTTCTATGAACAGATTTTAAACAACTCGTATCTATATTAAAATCTTCAGCGAGTTCGGCGAATTTTACAGCACCTGGTAAAATCTCATTGTCAGTCGTTATAACTGGAATGTCTAATTTCAGTTCACTTAAGGCTTTTCTTACATTCTGATATGATATTTTTGAAGTGACTAAGGCTTTGCAATTTATTAGTTGTATCTGGTGTTTGAGCTCCTCTGAAAACAATATATTTTACATCAAGGAGATTTCTTGCATGCTTCAGCTCAAATATGCTAGCTTGATTGGAGTGATACAATGGCCTCACAGAAAACCAGTGTTAAGCAACTGGTATTTTATTGAAAGAGTGATGTTAGCGGTGGTCCCTTTCCCCTCACTACTGGACGGGTGACTTTAAAGCCAGCAACGCACTTCTTACTCTAGGTTTCTATGGGCGCCGGAAGTCACTTCCCATCAAAGGGCGAAGTGCGAGTGTATTTTATTTCTACTTGACCGTCACAGTGACCGCGTTCGGCGCTATGATTTGTCCGCAATGAACTTCCGTCGAGAGCGAGTCGGTATGAAATAAACTTGCACTCAGCCCTCAGGTTACTAATGAAATAGTTGACCTGACTTCTTATTTATAATATTTCTTATTACTGTTCTGCATCTGATGTAATATACAGATGCTGTTTTCGGTACTGTCAACGACAGAAATAGTTCACCAATAGTTTAGTGTTTAACAATAAGTATTGAATTTTCTTTAGTTAGATTTTTTGTTGAATACGACTATTTAAGGTGCAAGACCTAATCTTTTATTACTGTACCAGTATATTATATAATAATATTCATGAAACTCTTTTCTAATAAGTATTATCGTCAACATATATTTGTTATTTATTAGAGCGTAAACCAAATACACAAATGTTAATTATTTCATAATCATTTTTTAGTGTGTGTTTCGTTAAAGTGTCGAACAACTAAAGGATAAAGAGTTTTATACTATTCAAGACACAGTTCGACATTTACAATATTATTTATAGTAATTTATATAGCTATACACTATATACATCGGAAAATAACTTGTCCTATTAATTCACAGTTTATCTGAGCTGGTCACGCAAGCTTCAACTTTGTAGTTTCTATCTTGTAATTAATAATAGGAATTCAATTACTTTTTATCACCCTATTCAATAGATATTTTAGTTGTGCAACATAATGACCAGGGATTTTTTTGAATTTTCACAGGGAAGCAACACGGCCACAAAATATTATGGGTCCTAAGTGAGCTATATTTGATTTCTATCAGGATCTTGTGTCAACTAGGGTGAATTACCGTGCGTTTACGCGATCCTGCCATACTTACTACTGGACAGTTGTTTTCTTTTTTTTTATGTTAGAGGGGGCAGACGAGCAGACGGGTCACCTGATGGAAAGTGACTATCGCCGCCCATGAACGTCTGAAGTCAACTCAGTTGTGGTACCTTCTCATCAATGATACTATAAACAAACCAGATGTAAATACGCCACCAACGCCCAAAACGCGTTATGTATACACGTGCAATTAAAGAAATAAATGATTTGATTTGAAAACGCGTGGGTCCTAATTAGGACCACTGTGAGCGAGCGCACGTACTAATTAATTCGAGAGAGTTCTTAAAATAGACTAGAGGGTCCTTAAAATATGATTGCCTACGATAATCTTACTCACTCGGTGAAAAGCAGCGCTGTGAGGCCGTGGTTTCACTCCGGTGAAGCCTTGCCAAACGCGCCGAACGACAAACCTTTTTACACTTACCTGATGAATAAATAGGATTCATCATACTCGCTATACAACCAGCTTGTAGAATACCCAGTATAGTACAAGGATATTCTGGAACATTCGGTAGGATCACCGCCACTTTGTCATTAGTTTGCAACTTTATTTTATTTCTTAAAGCTGCCGCGAATGTTACAGACATTCTGTGTGTTTGTGCGTAAGTGTATCCATGGCCCGTAACTGCGCACACCTACAAAAATACCAACAAAAGCATTGATGTTATTCTTGAATGTGTGAGTAGGTATCATTTAACATAACCCATACGTTCATAGGATAATACATTGTCAATAATAATTTTACTTATTTATAACTAGCTTTTGCAAGCAGTTCTGAACGCATGTATGTCGGTTATCGCGGTAAAAATGTCTTTTCCCGGGACTCAAGCTATCCCTACACAAAATTTCATCTAAATCAGTTCACCGGTTTAAGCGTTAATAGGTAACAGACAGACACACTTACGCATATATAATATTATACTATGATTGAAGAGTTTTACTTCCTTCTTGAAACCTTGACGGTATAGAATGTGAAAAAGTGGTATACCCAAGTAAGGATAGAAGTAGAGTGCCTATTTCAGAGGCTTGAGTTCGCGTTTTCTATCGCTTTTTTCTACATTCACGCTTACTACTTAACTATAAAATCAATTTGACGCCTGGATGGCGTAGTGGTTTGTGTAACGGACTGGTATTCGACAGGTCGCGGGTTCGATTCCCGCTCAAGTAAACCTTTGTGTGCATGAAAATTTGATGTTTGATTTGGTCTGGGTGTTTCTATGTGTAATATGTATGTATTTACAAAAAAAGAAGTATATATGTATTTATATCAGTTGTCTAGTACCCATAGTACAAGCTCTGCTTAGTTTGGGACTAGATGGCGTTGTGTGTATGTGGTCGAATATATTATTATTATATTATAATTTTTCAATTTAGACTTACAAGTTGGACAATTGTGTAAATTTAAATAAATACACTAGTCACAGTCACTTAGTATCAGATTTACATTTGATTTGCATAATTTAGATCATTCATTTTATTCTTATTACAATGAAACGTATTCGAAAATACGTTTTACTCCCATAGTTGCATATAAGTTTTACATACTATTTAAACCTCTGCAGATACGTGACTAATCTATGTTATGTGTCTATGCCAATTTTAGAAATGTAAAGGTTTAGTTTCTTTAAAATATAATATAACATCTTTAAAAAATATCTAAATCTATATAATTTACTAGTTTTTTTTTACTTAAAGAAGCTGAGACTCAAATGATTACATTTTAACTTGATAGTTCATTTATAACATTGAATAGCAGCTAACACTGGCTCGCATTTATAGATTACAAAAAGACCTTAGATAGATGAAATGTTAAAGATGTAATGAATCTGCTAGGGTGTCCGAAGTTTCATCTCAAATGAGAGGCGACGGGGTGTTATCCCAATTTCTAGACGGAAGGCGTTCCAGAGATCGATTGGATTAGGAACGGATACAAGCGGAAGTATGAGTGGGGCATAGTAGAATAGGATTGTTTTATGAACGGATCATTCTATCGTGGTTGGAACATAGAAGTTGGAATGAAGATGTCAGGTAGGAGGAGAAAAGAGGTAAGTTGAGAATGGAATAAAGGGTGATGAGCGTGCGCAGCTAACGGCGCTGAGGAATATTGAGCCATTTCAATTCATGACAAACATTTTCTTACTTGCGAAGGTTAAAGACGAATCGAAAACAGATGTTCAGAAGGCGGTCATTCAGTAACTCGAGTTAAAAGATTTTTTTTTTTTCTTTTTTTATATTAAATAAGCAATTTTATGTTTTATAAAATAATAATAATTATTTTATATTTTTATTATTCTTGTATACGTATTTGCTTATCTCTGAAAATGAAGTCGCATTGTCATATTGTTAGTGACAGTAACTTTAGTACATATGTACATACATACCTACTCGTATTTCAAGGTCGAAAGTCCAATCTCGCAAACGCTACGCAATTTTTTTTGTGAAGAGAACCTTTAAAAACAAGTTTATTGTACTTTTTATATAGTGGACGATTTGTTAGGTTTTTTATTGCATAGGAGGGAAAACGACGGGTCAACTTATAATAAGTGACTTCCGCTGCCCATGGACATCTGCTACTCAAGAGTCACAAGTGCGTTGAAGGAAATTCTTTGATTCTGGGGGAAGCCCCCACCCCCAAATCAGTAGAAGGGGAGGTAGAGCTCCGGTAACCTGACTTATACGTTGAAGTGTGTGGTGTGCTGGACATAAGCCCCTCCTTAGAAAAGACGTTTTGGCCCACTATACAACGCTGGCAAGGCGGGTTCGTATAGAGCTTCTTTCAGTTTTCCTTTACTTTGCAGTGATGTTGAGAGTTTGCTCTCTTAATCGGCTCTTACGACACCCAAGGGATGAAAAGTTGACACTCCGAATTCTTAATCCGTCAGCACACAGAAAGTCCGTGTGGTGACGGATTAAGAATACGGGATTAAGTAAGAATACGGACTAAGGGAGCAAACTACGCAGGACACCAGCACTGCAAAGAGAAGGAAAACTTGATACAAACCCTAAACCAATCCGTCTGGCCAGCGTGGTATAGTTACTATGTCCACAACATACTTTTACCATTTTTCATTATTTATTTACAATCTAATCATATTTATTATTATCATCAGTTTTAAGTACCTACCTACTTTACGTATATTTGTATTTCAGATAGCTGTACATCGCATAATAACAACATTTAAGCATAAAACACTGAAGATTTATTATTTAATACTGCTTTAGTAAATAGATATATACCACTTGTATAAAGTTACAGTTTTTATCATCATAAAATTTGAAATCATTGTTGTGAATACTTAACAGTAGGGAGTATAATATCAAGTAAAAAAGAACTGACGGTATAAGTAGGTATAATGTTAAACGTACATACCGTATGACACAAACAGATGAAAAGCAGAAGTTTTTTATGATTTTGGAGTCAAGCGAGGAGAAGGTGCGCCCTCCCCCCAGAATTAGGGAGTGGTGTTGTACACTGGTGACCTCTCTTATGACCATCTCTCTATCTACTTTTTCAAAATACTTCTAAATATTTGTTTAAAATGAATCAGTAATGTAGGTAATGTTTCTGTGTAAATTTCTATACAATTATGAAAATACTAGCTCTTGCTCACTGATTCCTTAAAGCAGAGCCTAAACCACTAAGGCTGCACTTTGAAATTTTTGCAGCTGATAAGCACTAAGAAAGGATTTTTGGAAATTTCTCCACTGAATATATAAGGGGGGTAAATAAGTGATGAACTAATCACCACAATCACAATAAGAAATAATCACCAGCAGTATGCCACTATTTCATATAACACATGGATGTTTGTGTTATTGGTAAAACATATTTTACCTATTCATCATCACAATGTATTGTATTATCAAACAAAATAACATGTTTGATCACAGGGGTGGAAGGGGCAAAATTCTGGTCACTTAGTCAATATCATATGGCAAGCGCTGCCTAAATAAAGACAAATTGTTTTTCTTTTACTTTCTGTTTGCAATAAATGATTTAAAACCATATTTGTGAATTACTATGTGTAAACTAGAGGAGCAGAGTCTTAGCATATATTACGAGTGGTCACCGAGGAGGCGCAGGGGTTAAAAATTTGTAAAAAAAGGATTTCGTAGTGTGGATATGTTCCATGACTGGTATTATTGAATGAAAGTAGCTGTTTTTCATCATTGTGTTATAATGTACTACATAGGCGTACACTTGTAATATTCGTTCAATGTATGTTTTAACATTTGAAAGTTTTAACATTTTATGAAAAATACCACGAAAGTGGATTGACAGTCCTTGACACAAAACCTAGGTGTTTATAAATATTAACTAGTGGTTAAAATTAACTATTTAGTTAGGCAATTAAAATGCAGTGTTGTACAATTCAAATATAAAGTCTGTACTAATTGGAGGATGCAAGGATTAACAATGTTACAACAGAGCATTAAAACATTAAATAGCTGCAAGGGACAGTTTTTTCTATTCATTTGTTTATTAGTTGCACTATATATTACATTAATTAGATTATAAACATAAGGATTTTTAAATATATAATAAGGTAATCAGTAGTTGTCCTTTCCATACAAAATATTTTAGAAGTCATCCAGCAGCCGCTGGATCATAGACCTTTGGTTTGCTATGCTTTGGAAGTTATAAAACATTTCTCACTATGAATTTATTTTGATGGGTATGTGATAGATTTTCATTTACATTTTAAAATATTATTTTTAAATATTATAGAATTGATGCAAATAGAAAAAAAAATGACACTTTGAGATGATGAGAGAACATTATTTAATGTGTGTGTTGTCAGGTGGGAAATGTACATATTTTGTGGACACCTAATATAAATATTATCATTGTATTGGTGAGTTTTTCTATTAATAACTTATTGTTATTTTCTTGAATGGTACATGGTTGCCTGTAAAAGATTACCTCTGAGCGATAAGGCCACCCCTTGTACTAACCTAGACCTTAAGACAATTATTGTATATTTATATCTGGTGTACAATAAAGGGATATGTTATTATTATTATTAGATTTTAGTGACTCGTTCCCAAATTGCACAGATACCAAAAAAAACTGTTGATCCAATTAGTAGTTACAATATTTTTTTACAGAAATGACTCCACACATCTACTGGGCTAATCTGATGACTTGCATAAAATTTCAACTAAATTGTTACAGCGCTTTTGGACTCCATATAAAAATTTATTACTTAAAGGAAATTGACTAAATACATACACATAGGGCAGTTAAGGAAATACAATTTTATTATCTATTGTTATGTAGTGAAACTGTTACTCATTGGAGTCACAGATTCACTACTTATGCTAGCCCTCATGTAGATTGTATGTTTTATTAGTAGTATTGGACCATATTAAACAGTACTATATAGTTATCTAAAATTAATAAGTATATGAAATATCTTACCGTTGCAGTTTTATCAGGCCATCTATCTAAATTCTCCCATACAAAATCATTGACTGTATAATTGGTCACAGGAAGGTCCTTGTACACAGACTTCAGAATATTATTTTCATGCTTTCTGGTACTGTTTTGTCTGAATGCAACCGATATGAATCCTCTTCTCTGTTTGTTGTAAATATTTAGCATATTCCTCTTCAATGAGTTGGCCATTATACAAAATTTTGTATGTCACTGCAAATGTTATTATACTTATATACATAGAATTGATAAGGCTTTGCTGAAGATATTGAATACAAACATAGTCCCATTCAATTACAGAAATTCAGTAATTTATGGAATTCTGTTGAGGAAGATGTCAAATAATTAATAAGAACCGAGTCTCGTCTATTGGTTAGAACTATTCTAGTTGTGTAGTGACTACCTACCTACTACTCCTTGACTCGCAAAAGCAACATTCCAAACATAAATAACCAGACTAACTTGTTTCAAGATTTTTGAGATTTTAACTATAATATTAGATACTTATACTTATTTGTTCTAAAACACATCGAGTGTTCTATGAGGGTGTGTATTTACATTAACCATGGCATAAACTCAGTTTTACGACTTCTTGGTACGTACCTTAGGTTTCGATAACACAACCTCCCGCTTCGACTCACAAAGCGGTACTGTGGCGCTATTTACTAAAATGATCTGATAACAAAAACCGGGCACATTTAATCACTTGACATTAACACAACTGCAAGTCTTTTGTTTAATTAGATGATTGCAAATTTTGTTTTTATATAAACCTTAACGTCCTTGGACTTTGAAAGAAGTACACGAAGTACGAACATAAACAAAACATATGCACAACACAAAACAAAAGTGACACTTACTTTTTTGACATTTCGCACCCTCGGTGCAACAAAGTAGCAACAGGTAATTTTGTAATTTTACAGGAACGGAATTTTAAGTTTTTTTCGATCAATTTTCCTTATTTCTAGATTATTACCCACAGCAGCCGGAATATCTTAATAATATTATATTATTTGTTCTTTTAGCTACAGTTTCATGTATAAAATTTATTTTGATTTATGAGAAAATTGAAAAAAAGGCAAGCAAAAAAAACAGTCGTTAATTATTGTGACTTTGTCGCCCCAGGAATAAATATAATTTATTCATTTGAGCGTTACATGCGTTTATGATTTAAGACAAGTTTTTAAATAAAATAAAACTAAAATCATATTTATTACGTATTTTATTCTCAAAAAACAACAAACAATTGTAAAAAAAATTGTGAAATTGTAAAAAAACACAAAAACCTGTTTCCTTTGCTCCTAGAATCAAAATGTTTTCTCATCTTTGATATTGGATATTGTGTAGTTACAACAGTTTAGATTGCTTTTATAAAAAAATGCTGATGATAGATTTACTGGACAAATCAATAAAGCCAGAAGATCGTAAAAAGCCACAATGACACTGCTGTCACTCTTTTTGTACTCATCTACATCTTGTTTTCTATTTTCTATTCTGCAAAGACTCTTTTCTTCTTGATGAAGTTGGTAGGCTTGGTAGCTAGACCTGTTCTTTACCTAATGCATTCTTATATGCTTCGCATATATCATGTGGGTCTTTCCGAGGAACAAAGAAACTAACGTTGAATTGCGTATTGAAAAGCCTATGGAAATCTTCGTAATTTGCTGGTTCCTTGTTGTTAGATATGCGAATTTGTTTCTAATTATGTAGCTCGGCTACAGTTAAACCTCCGTCTTTATATTCTCTAGATGACTTGGCTCTAATATTATGGCTTTCAATCATAATGATTGTTATGATAATTATGTGGTCACGTACAAATTTACCTTGATATACAAGAACGTAGCATGTGTTCGATTTTCTATATTCTACATTTTCTATTAAATTCTCTACCTCTTGGAATTTTGATGATATGAAATTGAAGTTCAATTTACTTTACACAAGATGCGAGGAAGTCATACTGCCCTTGAAAAGAACCAAGGTCCAAGTATTTTGTGTAACTAAATTTTCCATTGACGAGAGGAATGAAATATGCATTACTATCGTCAATTTAAAAATTTAGTCGAACACGATAATCAGCAGGTCTTTTCACAAGGTGAATAAATATTTTTTTCGCTATGGCTTTTCCTGCACTTGATATATAAGGTTGACCAGTGTTCTTCAAACGCTGTCTTTTGTTTTTTTTTTCATAGAATTGGTTTTCTGGTCCCTTTTTTAGACTTCTGTTCCTGGCTTGCTTGTATAGTTTCTAGGTCTGATAATTTTCGCTTTCAGTTCGAAAACCCCCACATATAAATATGTCAAAATGTATTTAACCATATAAATAAATTAAAATGCCTCAGTTACTCCTTGATAACTAACACCCCAGCAAACCATCACTAAGTCGGATAATGCCCACGTCATACTCTGCTGACTACCTGAGAAGCTTTTAAAGAGCTTTGAGCCTAAAAACTCGGTCATTCTGCTTGTCAATGTTACTCAATCATTTATTGCGTTCCAAAGTGTACATAAATAGTCTTAAAAATACCATTATGGCTCAATAGTATAAAAATCTCGTTAGTAAAATGAAAAAATTCCGTGACCTTCCTTTGCGTACCGCTTATTTTCATTTTACCACCCTGTCCATTTTTAAATTATCAGTTAAATAATGTCCAGTGTATCTCTTATAGGCGTGTGCGTCGCCCCAGAGGACAAAGTTCCAATTTGATTGAGTTTAACAGAAATTTAGTGTATGACGTCGTTTAATTGTGTATGGTAAGTAAAAATTTGCGCATTCAACCATTGGGGGTTATTATACTATTATTATAGTTATTGACGAATAAACAAATTTTAACAAAAAAAAACGACTTCAAAAAATACTATTCCAAAACCAATTAATATGCACTAAAAAATAAAAAAATAAATGCATATTCTTCTACAACTTAATAATCAACTTACTTTTTCTACTCATCAATATGTAGGTACGATCTATGTGTTTACCACGCAAGAAGGTAGGTAGGTACCTACCCACTTCAAATCTAACTCAACATATTGGTACCTATGAATAACAAACAACGATCAACAAAAATTTTGAGTTTTAAGTAAAATGAAATATATTAGACTACTTAGACTGGATGGCGTAGTGGTTTGTGTTACGGACTGCTATTCCAAAGGTCGCGGGTTCGATTCCCGCTCAAGTCAAACATTTGTGTGCATGAACATTTGATGTTTGATTTGGTCTGGGTGTTTCCATGTATAATATGTATGTATTTACAAAAAAAAAGTATATATGTATTTATATTAGTTGTCTAGTACCCATAGTACATGCTCTGCTTAGTTTGGGACTAGATGGCGTTGTGTGAATGTGGTAGAATATATTATTATTATTATATTATACTTAAAAGTCAATCAAATTATTACGATCATATCATGTAGTTACAATTATTGTTATTTTTGGAGTCGACTCAAATAATGAAATTCGAACTTTTTCCGCTGGGGCAACGCACACCTTATAGGCTGCAAGTACTCAGTGATCTTTTAAAATACGGGACATCGTTTAGGTATTTTATTCATTTCCCGAGATAAAATAATAAAAAAATTTGATTTCGGAAAGGATTTTTTAGAATTCCTCCGACTAATACTAATCAGATAAAGCGTCAAAATTGCATTTGGCTTCCTATCTACTTTGTGTAATGCTATGACAAAAATACGCTTCCCTTTATCTTTGATTCTTTGGAAGGAAATAAAGAAATAGAAGAAGTAAATTATATATTATTTAATATCAGACAACTAAATCAATACAGTAATACAAACCTAATTCAGACCTAAATATTGGCTGCTAACTATAAATCAGTTGTCAAGTTATAAGGAAAACAATTACAAGATACAATAGACAAATATATATTCTACTTAAGAATAGTACATTCTTTTACAATATTCCTAAGACAAACTTGAATATCTGAAAAACTTAAATATACAAAACAACAGCATTTAATGGTAAATATTTCAAAAGAAGAGAAAACTAAGCTAATTTCCCAAAAATAACTATCATATTAAAATAAGTCTTTACTAACAGGAAGGGGTTCATCCAATTAATTTCAAAGAAAATATTTTCCTATAATAGATGCTAATATAACACACATTCTGTTATATCTTTAAATGTGTGGTGGCTTACGTATAGTTTTAGTTACTGTAGTGTCTTATTGGATGTACACAAGTGTTTCTAGAAAAAAAAACAGAGTAAGGGATCATCGTATCATTCCTGGTGTAACTGGTATAAATTGATTTAGAGATCTATCGTAGATCTAAGATATATAGATATTTTAACGTTGTTTCAACATCGGGTTTTAACACAGAATTCTTAGTTTAGAAACGAATTATTTTTTAAAGAGTATTCTATAATGTTCCACAACCGTCAGCCACGACGCGAATCGGCTCCGTATAGCACGACTCCTTATACGACGACGAGCATATTCATTGGGCCACAGATGTAAGAAGAATAGTATAGAGGTAAATTTTCTTCTATTGTAAACTGAAACGGAAATAGGAGGTGTTGCCAAATACTGTAGTTTAGTGATGCTTATATATTGTATATATTAAAATATTGTAAAGCGTAAGTATGCAAGCATATTTGGTTAGAATAGTAATTTGAAATTGAACACAATGTGTGTTAATATTGGACTAGTAGCTATATTAATATTTGGCAATTCAGAAGAAAAAAAAAAAAACAATTAATTTCAGGTGAGGCTTCTACATACACCTGAATGCCGTTACAACTATGTTAGTGACTCGTAATAACCATTTTTACATGATAACTAGAGTAGGCTTTCAATTGGTCAAAATTGAATTAAACTTGTACTATAGCCGTACGCATCGATCAAGCCCCGCCTCTGACCAATCAGATTCCAGGACCAAAGCTTGGATCCCGATTGGTCAGGGTGCGGGCTTGTTCGATGCGTCACTGTAATCTTAACGCGAATGGACGATCGCATTGAACGGAACACAGTTATAGTACAAATCATTCAGTTTTGAACTTTGAGTTATAAACATTTTAATTGATCACCAATTTGGGATTGGATGACATGTAAAATCAATTATCTTCACATAAATTGCAAACATAAACATTTCCAAATAATTTATGAACATAGTCTTTTGTCAAACTAATAGTTTTTTTGTATGTACCTAATATTTAAAACAGACACACATACCTGCTTTCACACATTCCTATTATAAATAGATACAGATCGTCTATACGTATAATAATAGCGACAATAATAGATTAACTAGATTGTTCAAAACGTATTATGGACTAAATTTAATAGTTAAATTTATTTTAACAATTAAATTTAAAAAGAAAAGGTACCTTCTTTAATGCTTCTACAGCGTTATGACTTGTAATAAGCTCTATCCTTGATTTCTTAATTTAAATTCAAATTTGAATGGAACCAAACGGGAAACTTTTTTTGAAGTCGGTTAAAAAAACATACGCAATTATATTTGCACATGACTGTACTTATTAGAATGACGAAGCGTGGAACATAAATGTTAGTAATATTGTGGTTTTTGACACTTTCAAACTACACTTATCCAGTCTTTTACCTTATACACAATACACTTCTAGTATTATAATTTATATTACATTGATTCCATATCATTGACATTTCCTTGTTTGTATGTAATTGAAATATTCGTTTTATCACGACGTGTCGAAAGTGGCAAATTAATTTGTCATGATCTTCGATGATTCGAAATAACATATAATTTCCCTTGATCATCTAAAGAACCCACTGATAACACTACCGTTAGACCAACTCAAAAATACAAAGCTTAAAGACTACATATTATACCGACTTCATATCAAAAAGAACTGAATTGAGAAAGATACCTAACACACATTTGCTTTCACAAAGTTAGATGATACTTTTGAAAGAAAAAAAAATAGGTACATTTAAATTTCAAAGTTTAGCATTGTTACTACAGTACTAAGTGTTATTTTATAAATTGGCCAACATCCAAAGATGGTTTCCATATGGACACTACACGCGTTGTTTGAAATATATAATTAGGTGAAGTAGTCAGTCAGTCACTATTACATCTGAAATACAAGTCATTATGACAATGAGTAACATACAACAATATTAATAGAAGATTGATTAAATGAAACGAACTAAGAGTTGTTTGATTTAATGCAAACGCAAGTAAGATCTGTACTAATATTATAAAGCTGAAGAGTTTGTTTGGTTGAATGCTCTCAAGAACTACTGGTTGGAATTGAAAAATTATTTTAGGCTTGGATAGCCGGTTATAGGCTATATACTATCACGCTACGACCAATAGGATCAAAACATCAATGCATAAACGGAGAAAATCTATTCTCTTTGAGTTAATCAGACATCAGGAGTATCAAGGAAATGTCAATAATTTGAAATAATCTATCTACGTCAAACTGTTAGCATTGGCAATACTTAACACATTTAATGAATTGTTCAATAGAAATGTTTTAACTTTACATAACATGTTTATAATGAAACATAACAACAATAATCTTTGCAAAGCTATTAGCCTACTTTGTCCTTGCGTTACAAAGAGGTTATTCTCAGTGTTTATGAAGGCGTAGCACGTGAACCCAAGACGAGTTATGCATTTGTAGGTAGTAACTTGATCCTCGGTTTTTATTTATTCTTATTTGAAAACTCCGCTGAAACAGAAAATAGAACGTATAGTTTCTTTCTTAGTTTTACTTAAAGAAGTACAAACCGACGATTTTAGTTTTATAATTTTCGTATACCCTGTGTCATTATGTATATATCGTATACCCTGTCTCACAATATGGTAGATTCCTAGGTTTAAAATAAATCTTAGAGTCTGAATTGTTCTCCATTATCAATTTTATCTTTTTTTTTGATTTGATATCTTGATATCAATATTAAATATAAATGATTTGACAATAGCTAAGTATGACGTCACGTCATAGTATTTCATACAAAACTGTAACCGCGTCTAAATGTAATCGAATCTAACGACACTCGAAAACAAAACTCTCCTGGCGCAGTCGATCGTCTGAGTCGTCTGCGGTTCCTGGCAAGTTCCCGGGCACAATTCTACATTTTGCCTGGTCCCGCTCCGCCGTCTCCTTCGCAAGTATGACTTGCTTACAGAAGGAGAGGGCGGAACACGTTTTGCCTATACCATAAAAAAACAAAGATTGAGGCATACCGTAAATTACTCGAGATTTCCGATATCCTCTTCGAATAATCTCTTTCCACCTTTCAATATCTTTTCCGAATCATTGCCATATTTCTTTGAATATTCTTCTAACCTTATGAGCCACTGTGCCCAATGCTCTCGCAATTTGTCAGTAGGAAGGTGGTATGCGTCGGCTTTAGAGCCGTCAGTGTATGCGATGACTAACAATGCGTCTTTACCGTTTAAGTGTTTGTAGTTGAGGTCGTTGCAAACGGCGCCAAAGTACGCCGCTAACTGCACTGGATTGTCGTAGGTTAAGGCGAATTGATTTGGGTGGTTTGTCGGATTTCTTCCATTCTATCAACGTTGGTTTTTCTCTGAAATATGTGAAGTTGTTGTTTACTTATAATGTCTAGATATTATTACATTTATGTGACAAAATATTTTATAACACGCCAGAATTAGTATACGAATGTAACATGTCTTTTTTTTTTGGTGACGTGGTGGGAAATCCTTGCGGAATTCCGGCTCCTTGTTATACAGGAGCCAGGAGTATGTGGTGTTTTCACTAAAAACTACCCCAACGGCCGGCCTTAAGCACCCTACTCTAGGAAGGATCCGAGGCCATGTGATTTCAGGTCCCCCACTCCCCCCTTATGGACGCCGAACCTAACTAGGCCCTATCCCAGAGGAAACATTAAATTTGGGCTGTTTGGGGTTTCGTACCCTCTGGGTTGAGGGGTCTATTGTCAAGCAATTTTTTTAGGCAAGTTTATAGATTACAGCACGAAACTCTGTGTGTGAGTCTAACTCATACGTGACTGTTTTTTATTTAATTTTAATATGTAGGAAACAGTAACTTTTATTATTTTTCATGAGGGCTGCCCCTACATAAGCCAAGTCTACTTGATAATGCATCATACGTTCATGGGAGGCGATGGTCACTTATCCCGTCTACTCGTCTGCCCCATCTAAAATTAAAAAAAAATATTGTAAAGGCAGGTGACGATTACCAATCTGTGGTAATTGTTACGTTAGTTAGAGCCCTAAAAAGTCCGACAACGGTCTTTCTACAGAAACTTTGTTATCGATTAGTACTTGGGTTAACGTAAAAAATCGAAGTTCAGCCGTATAGTAGTATACTTAAAGTCGACCCAACCTAGTTTGAGAAGAACTGAATTAATAATTCAGTTGAAATAATGTGAAAGTAAAAAAATATGACGCTCAAAAAGTCAAAATCTAGGTATAAAGACTTTTTGAACGTCTTTCTTGGCTGGTATTATGAATGATTTGGTTTTGTTCATTTTAAAAAAGATATACGTACTTTAACGTAACATTACACCAGTTAACTACGATATAATTCTCAAAGATTTGCAATCATCTGATTAGGTATTAGGTGGCGTTATATTGCTAAAAGGCACCATCGTAGTGTACGTCATGTTAAACATTGTAATCGGTTGTTTCTAAATCAGTGGGATTATCCGATAAAAGTAATAAAATAGGGAATATGCACGTGACACCAAAATGGACAAAATATTTTTATTTGTAATTTTTACCATACAATTCTTTTTGAAATTTATTATAATTTAATAGTGAAATTTAATCATCAAAAATTGGCTTTTTTAAGATTCCCTCGCAAATTTCTAAAACGCAACGCTATTGGTTGAATAAAACGGGACGTCAACCTACACTGTCAAGAGTGTCAACAAGTTGTGTGTATTTGTAATATGTATTTGGTTTCTGGTGATTATTTGTTTCATTTTAAGTTAATAACCAATACGTTTTCAGTGGTATATTATTAAATTCCCGTGTAGAAAGACTCAACACAATGACTGAATATACTTTGTCAGGTGCAGTTTTGATATTATTTGGGCACAAAGGAACGGCACAATATTTATAATAAGTTTCTATTAGCTTTTCCATGGTAATAAGTTAATTTTTATCACTCACTTTTTTAACTTTCACAAACTTTGTGAACTTCACTCCCTTGTTGACATCGAATTCGTCTGAAAGTGTAATCTGACGTCACAAAAAAAGCGCGCCAAAATGGACGTGTTCAAATTGCACCAAAATGATAGTGATTTTATTTTTATTTTTTTGCTTAACGGTTTATATTTCGGATGTGTTATATTTATTTTTGGTAATGTAATAACTTGTAGAATCGTTTAAAAAAATAAAAAAATACATGCATATTCCCTATTCTGAAATGATGTTAACGGCCTACCCCAGAATTAGTTTAGCGATTTTCATTTCAAATCAATATAACGCGTATCACACAAAACATATTTTTTTTAACTCTTCCAACTAAACATTTAGCTTTTGTTCTGAGTGTGTGTTACGTAGGTGTAGTTGGTGTACTGTCCGGTATAGAATCAAATGATAGGAAGTCGCGGAATTAGCCATTACGCTTATACTTTTATCGCTATGAATGATCTGTATTTTTTTTTCAAGATATGTAAGTACACTAGTTAGACACTATTGTATAAAATGGATACCAATACTCGTACTAATACTAATAATATCTAATATACTAATAATATAATCGTAATAGTACTAGTACGTTCTCCTACAACCCTATTCATCCCGTGGGTGTCGTAACAGCCACGCAGCAAAGTAAGCAAATTCTGCAGGACAACAGCACTGCAAAGAGAATGAAAACTGACCAGCGGGGTAAGTACATATTGTAGGCCAAAACCTGTTTTCTAAGGAGAGGCCTGTGGCTGAGGCTGTTCATGATGATGATTTTAACAAACAGTATAAACAAATTCAAAACAACGTATGAAAAAATCTACACCTCTCTAGAAAAACGTTTTGTTTGAAATCTAGCAAAGTAAGTAAGCAAAGCAAAGTTTCCGCTGCGACAACGTTTGCCCATACGTTGTCGCAGCGGAAACTTTAATATCTTCGCAGTTTATTGACGCACAAAGTTCACATTTAAACATACACAATTACCTCATACACTAATTTTTGATAAAATATTTTTTCTACGTCCATAGGATAAAAAAGTGCCGCTAGGAAAACGTTGTCCCAGCAGAAACAGTAACGCCTATGTCATGCCAGCAGTGGAATATTAGTCTGTTGATGATGTTGACTAGCACAGCACGGGTCACACAACTAGTATGTTTATTAACTCTCTTTGGCTTGTATTCTGTGTGGGTATCACAGTCAGAACATAATGTAGGTGTATCTAGCTAGAGTTATGTTCGTCACAACCAATTTACAGCTAGGCACGGAATTAGAGATTACGTTTATGTTTTTATTGTTATAAATGATGTCAATTTATTTTAAGGTATGTACACTAGGTAGATACTATGCATCAAATGGTTATCAATATTCTATAGATTCAGAACGCGTGCGTCACCCTTCAGCGATACGAACAACATAATTTTTATGTTGCTGACGTAACGACCATTATGAAACGTTCAACCGATTTTGAAATTTTTCAAGCGTCTGCTAAAAGTGATTGTATTATTAACAATCACTTTTCTGTTTGTATCTCTGATGGGTAAAGCATATTTTGTTAAATTTGATTGCAAGCTTTGTGATTAATATGAAATTAGGTATGGAGATAGTTTGGTTCTCGAGGAAGGAACAGACCGACATACACGGGGCGGAGCCGCGCGCAAACGCTTTTTTTTTTAAAGACAACGCCAGCATTATGTATATATATTCCTGTGTCGCGGTGGACTTTACAAACATACAAGAAACGGACACAAAGAACACCCAAACTTAGAACAACAATTTGTGGATCACACAAAGTGTCGTCCCATGTGGGGTTTGAACCCACAACACTCGGCGCAGTAGGAAGCGGCGTGGCGACCACTTAAACCACTACGCCATCCGTGCAGTCAAAAGCTAGTATAGTATATACTCCATTTGATGTCAAATATTTAGAACTATTTAACTATATTGTGGGTTTAATATAAGCCCACTAATACCACGAAGCACGAAAAATAATGTTATAAACTTGGAATACTCTATATTCGAGATATTTTTGCAAAAATCCCGCGAGTTATACATAAAATTATCTTCGAAACTACAATAGATATATAGATGGTTTTGGCTTACTATACCACGCTGGACAGACGGGTTGGAATAGGGTTTGTTTGGCCCCCGGGCTGGGCGTTATTTGTTAAGACGATGACACGCTAGTTACAGTCCAGGGGGGGGGGGGGGGGGGCGACTCAAGAGGCTGATGCAGGCAGGGAGATGATGGACGAAGGCAATACACCGAAACCGCATGCGAGCTTGCCTAGCGTCATGCGATTAAATAAGCCGACACAGATGTCGGGGACAAGAGGCGAGGCATTTTCTAATGTTATGGAAAACATAACTGGAAAATTAATTTATTTTTATAATTTTCCATATTTTTTTTTGTTTTATAATGATATCACAATGAGTAAACAGAAAATTTCACTGAAAACAAGTTAATAAATACCGCATACGGTAAAAAACCTGCAATGTAATTAATCAAACAGCCGAAGCAAGTAGGGCCTCTCCTCCAGCCGCCAACTAGTGTTAGTTGCGTAGACATTTTGCAGGGAATACACATGTAGTTATTACCTTTGTGCGATACCTACAGGAATGATTTTTACCTTTGACAGCTTATTGCATAAAAATTTTAATTTTCCGGCAGAAAATTCCAATGACTTTAGAATCAGAATACACTATTTCAATATTCGTTACGATGTTCCTTACAACTTGTACATAACACAAGACACTAACAAAACAAGTTATACATATATTGTATTATTCTCCAGTATTTGTATTTACTCGACGTACCGATACGGTTGAAGAAATAGAAGTTGCTTACCCTACTTTTTGCTCTTTATCTAGAAGTACTAGTATAGTTTATTTATCAGAATCCTATAGCCCATAATTGGATCAAGTTACGAAAAAGACGTTTTAGATAGATGGCTGTCGGTATTTTTTTTCTACTTCGAAGGACAGAAAAATATTTTTATGTCAATAGAACGCACGAATTTTAAGATGAAGTAAACCCTCAGATGTGTCATTGAAAGTACTTTATTATAGATTTTATCTCGAGGGGGAACTTGAGATTGCGCCAAATCTGAATGACCTTCAGGTTCCCTTGACATTATAAATTTAGGTAGGTATTATGTAGAATACTTGGTGTCATTGACATTTATATCGGCAAAATATTTCAAAGCTGATAAGAACGATAAGCAAATGACGCTTTACAGAATTTGTACGTACCTAAGTAAAAAATATAGTACTAACGTACTTTGGAGGATGGAGGCAATAGGCTAATATTTAGGGTGGCAATCGCAATACAATCATCGAAAATGGGTTGATTCTTATGTTTTCAAAAACATTATTGGTATTGATGAATCATTCAACGACCTTAAAGTAGGTACAGCATGAATAGCCCTCCATTATCAAGTTAAATAATTTTTTATCTCCAAATCAACATTAAAAGTTAAAGAAAAAAAAGGAATATACAAAAATGTCAAGCGTTTTTCGTTTTGACGTTTAATTAAAAAATGGTTATTTGACTTTACAGTCATCTACCTACCTATCTATTTATGTGTGTGGTGTGAAGAGCAATCTGCTGCAATGAAAACAGGTGATTTGTATGTTAATATTTACTACTTACTGGTAACTTAATGGTCGACATTTAAATAAACTTACCAGATCATTGTTGCCGGATGTTTGACCTCTGAGTTTAGCGATAAACAACCGAGAACACGTGCAAGGCGATCAAGAAGCGAAGCAAGCTCTAATATATACTACACAACGATTTACGGTTTTACAATATTACTGACTTTTTATTATCATTTAGCGGGTAAGCGCGCACGACGGGTAACCTGATGGCAAAGTGACAAGGGCCACTAATCTAGTTTTATAAGTCCGGAAATACCGCAAGCGATAATTACTTCATCAGAGTCTTTGTGCGATTTAAAAGTTTTTGTTTTTTAATTCCGTCTTTTGTATATATACAACAAGGTTTAAATGGTCACTATCGGTGTATTACTACTATATAGTTTTGCAATTATTGACCAGTTTAAGCTGGCTGATAGACGACGATGAGTGGAATGGGTAAGCGGTGGTACCTAACGTTATTTTCGAATCAGCAGAATTTTAATGAAAGATTGTATACAAGAGTGATTTAGTTTGTACTTGGCACTTTAATCTTTTAATGAGTAGACAGTTGTTACGTTTTGAAAGAAATAGTCCAATCACCTAGTGGCTATATACAAACAACAAGCCATAAGCGTCGCGTTGTAAAACTATTAAGACTGTGTAATCTGTACATCTAAATACTTACTCGTAATCTGCAATGGCATCAAATACCCCTCTGTATTTCAGTACAGGATGTACAACATTGGATTCTATAGCTTTAGGTGCCGATATACTCTTGAGGATGTCATTCACAGAAGTCCAAACACCCTCAACTTCTTTCTCAATACGAAGCTGAGATTTTGGTTGTGTGAAATAGTTTTTCAGAGTATTGTGGAATTTCGTACCAACTGCCATTTGAGCTGTGGGTTATAAAATATTTTATATTAAGTATTAATGTTATCAAGTACTATTTAGTATTAATTATACTTTAGGTACCCACATTAAGGTAAACAACAAACAGAATTTTAAAATATTTTTTTAATATAATATAATTTTAAATAGTAATAATCATATTTTTATTATATTATTTAATAACTTCTATGCCCAAGTGGCAGATCATGGAATGAACATCATTAATAATTATGTAATGAAGATCTGTATGTAACTCATGTATCACAAATAAACGATTTATTCTATTTATTGTTTATTGTACACACTGAACACATACATATTTATAACTAATGTCATGAACAAAGGCGAGCTTAACCCAAAAGATTTGATTTGATTAGAGCACTATTTTACTTTAATAATTTTTATAATGAAAAAATCTGTGCTATTAAAAGAAATTTAAAAATAATTTATTGGCCATGACATTGATAATATTTGTATAAGTGATAGAGGTCTGTTTACTATGTATGTTTTGCAACCCAAATTTATTAATATAGAAAAAGGAAATTAACATAACTTAAACTGTGGAGAAATTTAACTTAGATCAAAGGTAATTTAAAATGAGAACAAAATTTACAGATAGTGATTCATTCACCTGGATAGTCAAGTATGGGGTAGTAACTGCAGTTATGATAGGAAAGATATTTTGGAATTGTTGTACACTAGGTTATGGAAATAAAAGGAAAGAAAAATGGTCAAAGGTATTATGGCATTGCTATAAATACAAGTGTTGTGTAAGTTACAAAGAGGAATGGAAAAAGTGTAGATTTAAGTGTGCTTTGCCACATTCTGTTTTTCAATACTTCTATAGCTAATGCAGGACTACTTATATACCTCAAATATCAAATTAAGGAGGAAAGAAAGAGAACATGAAAGTAGGAAAGGTTCTTTAATGGTAACTCTGGAAGTGGTCATATCAAAGAACAACACATTCTATTAAAAGAAAAATGCACAATGACTATCTAATATGTAGGTATAGAAAGTGTGTTTATTAACACTTTCTGTTACAAAGGGTAGTAGTAGTAAGGACTACTATGTATAAAACACAAATAATAATAATGCAAAAAAAATGATTTAAAGATCTATGCACAGACTGTTATAAAACCTGAAAAAAATGATAAGCAAGTTAACAGGCATTTTGTAGTTTTATTTAATGTTCATCTATACAAAAACCTATCATTTTAAGTAACCTCTGTGTAGGGCAGTTAAATGAGTAGTCCTAAAATATGATATAAGACTATGATAGAAAAACTATGCACAAATCATTAAAACTATTAATGCAAAATATGGCAAAAAGCAGAGCCATTTATGACAGAGTCAGATAGATGGTATCATCATAATGGATTGCTTATAAATAGAGCATTTTTGGTTTATAATAATTGCATAAAAAGGCTTTAAGAAACCTTTTGGCTCATTGCTCAAAAACTTATGACCAATTAGCTTAAAATATTGTGTGCTCTAAATGTTTACTACAAATTACGTAGACCTTTTTAATTGTTTGCCTAGTACTTGAAGTGATCTTCTATGTTCCTCCTTACCCGAAGAAAAACTACTTTATAGTAATAGTATAATAAATAGCTCTGCTAGTCCTAATAGTGCTATTAAATGTTACACTTCTGTATAGCTGAGGTGTTTTTCCACCCAGATGTTTTGTGATACCAGTCAATATAGTACAATTTTAAATAAAAGAAACACTTCTAATAGAAATATTGAACATAAACTTATTGGTATAAGTTGCTACAATAGATTTTGAATTTGCATGTGTTCATTTTGTAAATATTATATTTAAAGTTAAAGACTTCCTACTATTAGATGCATTATAATTTAATATGGCAGACAGTAATAAAATGAAAGATATTTTACTAATACAAGACACAAATTACTAAAAGACATGAATCACAGCTTGGGTAGGGGAATAAACTTACTCCTTGATATTTTTACCTGTATGTAAATCTTTTTTTTTTAAATATTTTTGATACAATGTTATTTCGTTCTATTACATCTGAATCATGTAACATGGCCAAATTAGAAGCAAGATTACATCATATTTAAATACAGCAGATATAAAGTACAAGATAAATTACAAACTTACCTTCGTAAAATTTATTGAACTCCTCTACTCCCATTTCAGCAATCCTTTCCTGTTTCCATTTCTCTAAAGCAGTTCTCGAATCATCTGTCATCGTTTTATTCAATATCAACGTTACAGAGGGATATTGTTGGGCATAATCATTCTGATGATGCTTAATTTGAAGAATTTTATCTTCACTTACATATCCAGGCTGCGCTGCACTACAGATACTAGAAGTAGATAGACTTCTTACAGTTGCACTATGAAATAATACCCCCACAAAATTAACACACTGCTTAGTATTTTGCCACATTCTGTTTTTCAACACTTCTATAGCTAATGCAGGACTACTTATATACCTCGAATATCCAATCAATGGATCACACTGTCTTACATATCTCTCGGTACTTTCTTTATATTTCAACTTAGTTTCTTGACATCTGGCGCCGTTGTTTTGATGTGATGCACTATTTTTAGCTGGAACACAGATAAAACGGTGTAATGTGTACGCGTGTATATGCTACGGCGCCAAAACTGAATGTCATATGATTTTAATTGGCAAGATATGCTACGTAGAAACAATCACGATACGTAGTAGATAGGTACGCATGTATCAAGAACGAAAGTCAAATGTAAACAAATCTATTATTACCGAAACCATATCAATTTGTAGACAACCTCGATGTTAGCATATTGTACGATATGACTGTTCACTAGAAAGTAGTAAATCCACTCATTGGCAAGGTTGCGGAAACCTTACGAATAAAATCACTTACCTGCTTTCTGCAAACGTTGTTTCTTTTGTTTATTAGTTTCTAGCAAAGGACCAAACAAATCTTTATTTTCTTTGTTGTACAATTTTATTTTTTCTGCCGGCTTCAGGACCGAAGCGGGTCGAACTACCTTGTTCCTGAAAAATTCTTTTAATTTCCTCTCGAATGAAATTCTTTGACCGATTGTGCAAACCGGCCGAAACATTGCGAAATAGTGGCGTATTAATTTATAGAGGAAAGTAATGTGTTACAGAATGCAGATACGATTTCTACAGTATATCGATATTTATAAGTTGATTATAATGGTTACTATGGTTAACATTATTTTCATGAAAATGGTTCTATGTTAGAGATAAAACTATCAATGGATAAAACCAAAACCAATATTTAATGTCAAAAATAGCACATTTAACCAATGACAAATCGGTATTTAAAATTAGAAGGAAGTAATGTTGCCGTTACTCAAAAATGTCATTTGCAAGTTTCTAATCATTTTTGATTTCAAACAGGTTTGGAGTTATACCTTTACAACTAAAAAATACAATATTCTGACATACACAATGGTCATTGTATTACATAAATGAAAATAATTTGTAATGTGTTTAATAAATTATCTAATAGATGTCACTATAAAAGGTTAACTAGGATTTAGTTGTAATGAAAGTAGCTAGATGGCTCTAAAACCCGAAATATTATGTAGCTAAAATAAAAAGTGTAAAAGCTTGACACCACGCCTTTCTATTGCTTTACTTCTACACTTGATAGCATTATATAAAACTTCAGACTGAGGTAATGTAATGCAGACAAATAAAGTATACACATTTAAACTGATACTTCCGTAAAATCGACTTCTTTTGCAATTTGGACGTGTATTAATAATATAATTTGGCGGGAAAATGTACAACGCGGGATTGTTTGAAGCGGCATTTGAAAAACGCCGGCTGCTCGAGTAGGTATGTGTGTCCGGGTCTTCTGAAACCTGATCGGAAAGTTTAAGTAACTGAACAAGTTGATTAAACTAAGCAAGATTGATATTTCAGACAGTATAAAAAATAATTAGTGAGGATATGGGCATTAAATGACTGTAGAATAATAACTGGATAGTGGTTTAAAGTGCAAATTCGAGTCGAGTGATTTTACTGCTCGGATTTTCTTCATTACCGTAAGTACCATTTATATAATTAATTAAATCTAGGTGTCTATATATAAATAAAAAACCTTATAAAGGTTTTTAGGCGGCTGAATATAAAAATCTCGTCCAAATAATCTTATTAAATATCACAAAAAAAGTGGCATAGGGACAGTCAATATTTTGATTTGTAAAAGCCTCTCATAGTTTGTTTCTTTCTTATTTTTAAATTTGCCTAAAATAATTATCATTCTTTACTATTAAAAAAATGGCTTCTTTGCTATTTAATGTAGATGTATACCGAGTTTTAAAACTAAGATTTACTGAAATAAATAAAGACATCATTATGAGGATACTCTCTAAAGAGTTTCTTAAAGTATTTTTTCTAAAAAAACATAGTGCACATACTGCTTATATTATTAATTGAAAAACTAAATTTGTAGTAATAGTAAGTATGTGTTTCTAAATTTTACTTTTTTAGAGACCTAAATTAACAGTTTTGGACATCAATGCACGAGATGCGAGCCGTTAACAGCTAATAAAAGTGCCCTTTTTATTGTGTGCTTCCTATTTTATGTTCTTTTAGAGATTATTTGTTGATGATTTACTTTATCTTATATTTGCTATGAGAATATGTCTTAAACCTACATTAAGACCGATTTACAGTCTCCAAAAAAAAAACTTAGAAATTTAAAAAAAAAGCTTATAAAAAATTGTACCATTGATTTGAATCATAAAACCATAGATCGCTAGCAAGCTCATCTTTTGGACCCGTAAAAGGAATCTTGGATTATTAGTTCAAACTCAAAGGTTTTTTTGCTGAGTGTAGATACTAATTTCAAGTGGTAAATCGAATACCAAAAATGGTTTTAGACGTAAATGGGAAAATTGATTATACTGATCAAAATACAATGTAACGAATTTATAACCCTTTCCATAAAATACCTTGTACAACTACAATAAGTCGTCAATCTTCTTTAATGCCATTAGTCTTAGATGTCCTCGGCGCCAACCTCTTTAGGCCCTTTGCCTTTTTAAGTAACTTAACATTTAAAATACAAAAAGACTTCATTCTATAAAAATGAAAAAAAAAGAATACAGAAAATTATTTATTGTTGACTGAAAAAATAAAATAATTGATGCTTGAACGTAAAGAAAACTAACGTAATTTAAAATTATTTTCTTGTTGGTTGAATATAAGCAAACAATCATAATTTATCACAATATTGCAAGTTTTCACATTTACAAACCGCTTCAAACAGCGAATTACTTGAAAATTTCCAATGACTAATTAAAGCCGAACTTTTAATACATAAAAGTTACGCGCGTAAAGGAATTATTTCAGAAGCATTATAAGAACTTGAGTAGGCTTTTAATAATATTATGTTACTTTCAAGTTAGAGAGGCGTCTCCAAATAATAATGAAAGATTCTTAACAGCGGCCAAATAATCAGTACAATATTTTTATAACAAAAAATGTTAATATATAATTAGGCAATTAGCAGACATAATTAATGTTTATTATGATTAAGTTGGGCCACCAGGGTCGTCTGCACTAATAATCTATTAGCACAAACGTATAAAAAAGGATCAGTTAAAAGAACAACAAGTTTGGACTTCTGCTGAGTCGACAGACAAGCAAAAGAGGGACATACAAAACCCTTCAAATACAGAGTAAGGTTGTTCCAAGGTTGCTGCTTATTACCAGTAGTATTTAATACAGTTATAAATATATTAATAGACAATATCGCTATATGCGAAAAGAGGTGGGGCTACCGATTTAAGGTCAATGGACGGAATCCATCTTAGCATTCGCAGAACACCTAAAAGTTACCAATATGCATGTCTTGTCAAAATCACAAGACGAAATCGTTATCTCCCTTCCAAAAGACAAAAATTTATCAGAACTCGAGTCATGGCTCCAATTCCACAATTCATGGTGGGTACGTAGTCCTGTAGAGTTGGATTCGGAAATGCTAGAAGACGGACCGACAAATAGATCACAAATCTTTCCTACAAAAAGATAAAAACGAGACCTACAAGGTGCACGCAATGAACCTAGAAATGCCGAATGAATGTTTAACTCTAGGAAAATTTTGTATCCCACGAGCTTTGAAATGGCGCACACTTTTATACGATTGGTCACCGGCCCTGTTAAAATTTTACCTCAACGCCTTGCAATTGACTCTCCCCGATCAAAGTAACCTAGTAAGGTGGGGAAAAGCTACAGAAAAGGCTTGTACGATGTGCAGTGCGGAAATAGGTACAGCCAGGAACTTACTGACAGGTTGTAAGGCGCTATTAGACCGGGGTCATTATTCACTTCGCTATGATAGGGTATTACAAATCATATGCGAAGCTATAAGTTTATCACTGGCGAGAGCGAAAAAAGGAATAACAACAAACATAAGAAATAACATCGCGTTTGTAAAGGGAAGGCTCAAAACAAAGACTTCACAAAAGGCATACTCAATTATAAATACAGCCAGTGACTGAACATTATTAGTGGACAATATGAAAATAATTACGGAATACCGGAGGATATCTGTGTCTCGGCGTCCAGATCAGACATATGCCTTTATGCAATTTCAATTAAACATATAGTACTAATAGAACTCACGGTGCCGTGGGAAACGAACATCCCTAAAGACCACGCTTTAAAAAGAAAGAAGTACTTTGACTTAACCAACAAAATAACTAAAAATGGTTATGTCGTTGCGTTGTATTCCGTGGAGGTGCGCGGGGTATACCAGCTAAATCCCTCTATAACCTGCTTAAAGACCTTGGATTGCCAAGAGCTTCAGTAAGCTCTTTTCTTGAACGAATATGGTTAGGTAGAGAGGGTAACACAGCCGACAGTGGAGCGCTGACGCGTCGCAAGGAGTCCTCCCTAAACCTATACCTGGGTCGCAATTCCCAGGCGCTTAAGAAGTCGCATGTGTTGCCCCCATCTATCACGCGATGGATACGGCACCCACACGGTGAATCCATGGAATGCTAAGAAATAGGTCATTAGTATTTTAGTTATGACATTATAAAAATCAATAATTTCTTCGAGCTAGCTATTTTTGGGGTTAAAAGCCAGTTTGACAGGACTTTCTTGCGTTTTGTCGACATTTTTACCTTTGTCTGTAAGTAAGATAAAGTTGTATGAAGTTCCCTACCGGCAAGAGATTTTCATATTGTGGAAAATTTCCTGATAAATATTTTACACGTGAATAGTATCGTTATTACTTTCGAATTAAGTATTTATACCTTATATCAGTCATTATGTTTAACCATACAAAAATTGTCTGGTTTGATTACAATCTAATAAGCCAATTTTTGTAAACCCTCAAGTTGTAAATTTTGGTCTCACTTCTCGGAGCTTAGAGAACTTTTAACTGTCTGATCTGTTTTATCGATAACACAGTTATGATAAATAACGTATAAGACAAAGGTTATGATGTAGAAATTGAAGTCACAAGCGTGCGCCTCTGTGATTTCATTTATCAGTTTATCTCATTCTGATAATATATGTTTTTTTTCGTTTGCTTTTTTTTATTAGTCTATGGCACTAGTAAATTACTGAAAGTATTTATGAGGATATAACAGTTCACTAATTCATTCATTCTTTCATTTATATGCTGACTAACTGATTACGTAAAGTAACCAGCTTATTTAGAAAACAGTTTATTCAATTAATGTGAAGAACGAGTGTCTGGTGTCTATACAGCGATAAGGTAAAAGGAATTTATTCAAAAAAGGAACCACTGAGTGCATAGCAGGAGCAGAATTTTAATTAAAAAATGTTAGCTGTGGTGTGAAAAGAGATTTATTTAATTATTATTTTTAACTTACTGTAGTCTATTTTTATTTGTAAGTTCTCACGTGACTTTCGGATCTTTATAAGCTCACTGCTCACCGGCAAATAAAAGGATACATAAAAATAATTGCGTGTCAAAACGTATTTCATATTGAGAAAATTGTTTTTTAAAGCAAGATTTCAGCTTTGTTGCTTGTTGTTTTTGTTTATAAGCTTCAGTTCCAGGTTGAGGTGAGGTTCATAACCTTAAAGTTTGGGTAGCGAAAACCAT